AATTTTATAAGTAAAATCTGAATAACAGCAACAGAAATTAAGGAATTAAGAAAGCAAAATCCCCTTTCTACCAGATAGAAGCAAGTAACCAAACTGACTACATGCCATGTATGAACGAAACTATGAAACTTCAGGAACCGGCAAACTTTATATAAGGGCCAGAGAGTCAATGTTAGGTAATACAGGCTAGTCTGTCAGACGACTCAACTCACTGTAGCAGGAAAGCCACCAAAGATAATTCATGTAAAAACCACAGCTGTATCCCAATAAAACCTTATTTACAAACACTGTAATTTTAACTTCAAATATTTTCATGTCCCACAAAAATATTCTTCTAATTTTTTTCAGCCACTTAGAAAATGTAAAAACCATTCTTAGCTCCTAAGATTTACTTAAAAAAACAAAACAAAACAAAAAACCAAACAGGTGTCAGGCTGTATTTATCATCATCTGCTCTATAAAAAATGTACTAGATAAGACTGCCATCTTTGTTTTTATATTCAAAACTGATTGCATTCTTAATCCCACTTTTCTATTTCAAAGTTCCCATTCTATAAAAATATTCTTTAGATATTTATTATTCAAAATAACTGTTACACTCTATTCCACGACACTGGTTTGAAGGTGAACTTCCTAGTTACATGCATTTTACCCATTTAAAAAATAATGCGAGTCTTTTCTTGAAAATTTTACCATTTATCAGTGCATCAGTCTCTACCAGCATATAAACTGGTTGTCTAATAAGCTTATTTTTACCCACAATTATAAATCAGTACACTGTGGCCTAAAGATAATGTTTATTCTGCTGTAAGGACAAAAGCTAGGTAGGTTTTTCTTTGCTGTGACATCAATTTAAAATACTGCCTTCAATTGTGCCATGAGATAAACAAAGATTATCTTTCATTCTAACAGTGTATTTCAAGGGAATAAGCATTTACAGCTTGGCACTTCATATTTGGTTTTAACTGTTCTTTGGTGAAAGGTTTGGTATATAAAGGAAAAAATGGTTAGGATCATACTGAAAATGTAACATTCTATTCCAAGAACATAATAAAAACACTCATAATTCTGTCAGACCACCATTCCACCAAATGTCCATACATCTTCAAATCCACGTGACTCAGACTTGAGTGGGTACTTTCAAAAAGCAACATACAAAGCCTGGCATATAACAGGCATATTAATTGGGCCACCAGAAACCACAAAGCCAAGATTTGTTTTGCAGATCAAGCAGTCAATAAATTTTGATTAATACATTACTTAACTTCTGGCTATTTAAAGTGCTTTGGATGAGGGTAGCTCTTACCAAAAAAGAAAAAAGAGTATTTACATATGTAAAGGAAATACAATGTAACAAAATGCAAAGAAAAACTCGCTTTTAGAAAATATAATTATTCAACTGTCTTTCAAACTCCATTTTACAGTGAAATAGGAGTTTCAACCATGTAACAGCAAAGTCACTAGAGGTCTTCAGTACAATGACAAGGTAGTCTGTTACACATGACTTATTTTGGCATTGCTAGCTTTACTGCCAAATTAATCCTAGGGGTAGTCTGTTGTCAATGTTTATGAATAAAATAATGAAGTCCCATAACTTAGAAGGCAAGATTCATTTAGAGACAAAATGTCACAGTATTTTAAAATTTACCTTTATATTAAAAAAAAAAAAACAGAACACAATCCACACATACTCATAAAACTCATTGTCAAAACTGCTTAATAAGGTTCTTTGTAACAGTAAATACTTAACTATCTGCTTACTTCAAAACATAAATCTTCCGTATTAAAAAAAGGCTCAAAATGAGGCAAAGTTCTACCTTTCACTTTTCTTTACAATTTAAACTTTCAATTGAAGTGTTCAAGACCAGTCTACATCTCCAATTCATAAATTTGAAAAAGTTATTTTTTTTTTTAGAAGACTAGCTTTTACTTTTTGTGGCAATAATTCTAAGGACTTAAATCTGCTTGGGCTATCAAAATCTAACTCACAGCTTGAAGCTTCTTCAGTCTACCTACTATAAGTGCAAGTTTGTAGACACCAGTATTTTGTATGGGTCACGTGAAAAGTTTTTAGAAATGAATCATCAGGCTCTGCCACAGGTCTACTGCATCAGAATCACCATTTTCACACATACATGCAACTATGAGAGGTACTGTGTTAAAAGTCAAAACTTTACTGTTCATATAAAAAAAACAAGACCTTTCTAAGGCTTGGGAATAAACTGGACATGGGTTGTACTAATGAGCAAACAGCTCCTCCCTTGAGTATTAGCCTTAACCTAATAATGTTAACAACCGATCCCCCTAAAAAATCAATAATGAAGAATATGAGATGGAACCTAGGCCTTTCTTACTGGATTATCAAGTCAAAATTGGAAGACATGGCATTGAAGGAAAACATGACCCAACCCTCTTAACTCCTTTTCTGTGCAATTTCAACTAAGCCAGCTTTTTAAACAGCACTTATTTTTAGTTTTACTCCTTAAAAATTCTACTTGTATATTTTATTCATATACCTCCCATGCTCCCCTGAATTTTTTGCCCTGCTGCTTTTATTTTAGGCAATATATAATCTAACTTTCTTAGCAGTCATGTGATTCTTTACTATATGACAGAAACCCTGACTACCTTCAAGCAGTAAAAAAAATAAAAATTAAAATAAAAAAAATCCATGGGCAATGCCATGAATTCCCATGCTCCTAGTGCTCAGATTTAAATCTTATTTTTTACCATATTATCCAAAAGCATTATTACTTAACCTGACTAATCCCTTTCTATATGGGATTACAGCAAAAGCCACATACCACTCAACAATGGCTTTCAAACTTGTTCAAACAGCAAAGAATCTTTAATGGGCTCACTGAAATACTAAAAATTTAAATCCACTTATGAACTCCATTTTGGAACATAAAAAGTTATGCTTCTACACGCAACTAGATTCTTTTAATAAATGCACAATAAGAAATCACATCGGAGTGTTAATAATATGTCATTTGTTTTATTAACCATTCGAAAATATTTGAAAAAGCTGATTTCACTTTAATAGTGAAACAACACAATGGAGCTAATCAAGGAACATTAGTGCATTTTGCTATTCAGGAATCATTCAGGGAAAAGTTTGCAGAAAATCTTAAGGCAAGAATATTAAAAGTAAGATTCCTCAAAGATACCTTTATGTCAATGACAAAGACTTAGCTAACAGATTTTTGCCCTCAAATATTTTAAAATATATCCTTGTTGAATCACAACTAAAACGTTTTTTTTAAATTAATACCTGCGCTTGTATCAAATTCAGTGATTAAATAAATGGTAATCATTTTGGTCCTGTTTTCTGCTATACTGTTCACCTCCCCAATACCTTCATTCCACCAGCAAGTAAGTTAGGTTCACACAAACAGTAAAATATGCAGTCATGAAGAAATTCTGACTCCTCTAAACACACACACCCACACCTGTCCACTAAAAACCTGTATGCCTCTTCACTGTCATACATTATTTGTGAAATATTAGACAATATAAGCCACAATTATAATTCTGTTAAAAATATTCTTATTTCTTCAAGCTACAATCCTTAGTTCAGTGGTCCCAGAATTTCTTTTAAAACCATCCTTGGTGTATAATTATCAAAGTTAGATGCAAAAATATTTGCAATGATAATGGATTTGCAGTTACAAAATGCCCTAACTTTTATTGTGGCTGGCTGGTGGTCCCCTTCTGAATATAGAAGCTAATTTAGACACAAGGATTAAACTTTCTATAACTTAAAGAATGTGTGCCTGTTCAAGTAGGGGCTAGTTCTGAATCAAGTGTGAAACTGAAATTGCTCACTCATTCTATTCAGAGAATGAATGAGAGATATTGTCATTATTTAAAAAGTCAAAACAAATGAGGGAAGTCAGGAACTAATGTAATCAGTAAAATTTATGAATGTTTTAATTATATACACCCTATTTTTTAAAACTAGGCAAAACATACATATTTCAAAGGAGTTTTAGATTTCTTCCAAGTTTGCTTTAGGTGCAGGTGAAAAGAGCAGATAAACTCTAGATTTCTTATAGTCCATGTTGTAATGAAAATATTCTAATTCTCCATTAAAAAGAAATGCAATAAGGCATGCTTTCTAGTGGCTCATACCCTCTTCCAAACCAAAAGGGAAAAAAAGTATAGATAGAAATAGCAAAACTGTCATGTAACACTCTCTTATTTCTATAACTTGACTCATTCTGTTTACTTTAGAAAATAAACTCATGTTTTAACTAAGACTATTAACTAAGTACAAAACTATCTGCTGTTTTATTTGTAAATACAGAATCCTACAAACATCTGCAGCAAGTCCATGAAATACTTCTACTGCCCATACTGATATATCAGTACTTAATATATACAAAATATGTCTCTATTAAACAAAACAAAGGTATTCACAAGAAGTTACAGGAAAAAAAAAGCACAATTAATGAATGCTGAAATTTATAAATTAAAACCATTGTAATTTATACAGAATGTACAAATAGTCATGTATTTTAAAATGAATACTATTTCTCATATGAGTACATTTTCACAGGCAAATGCTGCTGTACAAATATTTGCTAACGCAAATAAATGACTATCTTAGTAAATTCGACTCCAATACTTTAACCCAAAAGCTGAAACTTTCGGTATTTTTTTAAAGTTGTCCAAAGTTGACATCTGTGAAAATATTTTAATTCTTTTACATCACATATAAGGTGTTTTACCAAGAACAAGTTTTTAAACCTCAGGCACAACAGATTTAAATTAAAAAAAAAAAAAAAAAAAAACAAGTATAAACGCCTTTTATCAGTTCAGGAAAAGAAAATTCAAGTTTACTTCAACTAAGGTCTACATAAAATGTGTCATCAGAATATGCTCGAGTTTAAGTGAAATAAATGTATTCTTGTTTCTAGTTTTTCACATTTCAGTAAGATTATTTAAATTTTTGAAGAACTATGCATAGCAGCCAAGAAAATACATAATACAGAAATGACCTTACATAATGAATTTACATAAGTCATTGCCCTTCAGGTTCTAAAATGTTACCAATTTTGCAAATGTTGAGTCTGAAATTGTGCTACATTTCAAAACTTATTTTATGAATCAAGAAATTCAGTGATATTAAAAAAAAAGCCTTCAATTTTCTCTTAAAATATTAAATAGCATTATCATGGGCTGGTGACCTCCAGCGTGACTGAAGATTTTTTATTATAGAGTTTGCCATGCTACCAAGTTTCTCGTGCATTTCAAATAACTGGCTTCCTGAGTAATTATGGAGATCCTCTGAATCCAGCTGAAGAGCAAGTGCACTAACCTGTGCCACAAGATTTTTAGATATTGGAGTTTCTAAAGCAACAGGATCAATTAAATCTGAAAGAGGATAAAAAAGCACAATTAGATCTATTTCAGATAAAACTTAAAATGTCTATTATCTCCTTTCAAGTTAATAAAAAGTTTAAGTGCCTAGGATTCAAATTAAAAGTTCAGGCTGAGGTATGCACCTGTTCCTCAAGAAAACAAGCAACAGGAATATCTAACAGCTTGTTCTGTGCCACTGAAGAAATTGCCAGACTACTTCATTTTTATTAAAACCATGACCAGAACACAATATTTAGTGCACACACTTATTTTAGACCTCAATGGAGTTGACAATTAGAAAAAAAGCAACAAGATTTTACTTGAAGTAAAATGAATCATTTCTTCATATAGTTGGTAACTAGCACAAAAAAGAAAAACTTCTGTAATTCACAAGATACGATCTAATTAAAACTAAAAGCATAACAAAGTAATTCAAGAAAATCTTGTAAATAAATTTGTCCCACTTCACTAAAATATACCTGAGGCAAGTCTTTCTTCATCAGAAGAGAGAGGTTTATTTTCAGTTCCATTTGTTTTTTCAGAAATATCAAAAACTGGAATCTCTTCTAATCCACGAGACTTCACCTTGATTATACATTTAGAACAATAAAAAAGAAAATCAACAAATTCAAAGTTACTTTTAATAGGACTAACAATAGTATTAATACTGGAATAGAAATGACAGCTCATCACATTATTATTAGCTTATTATTAGCTAATATTGCCACGAAACTATGTTCTACTTAGAACTACAAAAAACTACATGTGATCCTTTAAAACTATGTTCAGTGAAAGCCAGTCACAACAGACCACAGGTTATATGGCCCCACTTTTATAAAATGTCCACAACAGGCAGATCTTTAGAGGAAAAAGATTAGCAGTTGCCTAGGCGTTGGAAATGAGGATGTTAATAGCTAAGGGTTTCTCTCTGGAGGGATAAAAATGTTCTAAAAGTAGACCACAGTAGTGGTTGTATAACTCTGTAAATATTCTTTAAGAAACATTACTTAATTGTGTGTTGGGGGCGGGGGGGGGCAGTGAAGTTTTACAGTATGTGGATGTCTCAATAAAGCAGCTTTTAAAAATTTAATTCTTAGAGACAATTCGCTGGGCCCATGAACCACCAAATATATTTCAGAAACTATATTCTTGATCTATGAAACTGAAAATTACTAATATAGTTTTTGGGTTTTTTCAAAAACCAAAAATAAATTAATATTAAAACTAGCACTTTCAAGTCTTCAGTAGTTAGCAAACTCCAGTCTCAAAAATTCTAATATACAATGCTGGTTTTCACCTTTAATAGGCCACATTTTTCATTTACTCACAATTTTCCATATTAATGGATCCATAAAGGATCTCTGAATTGGTTTCAGGAGTCTGTGATCTCTTCTGAAATGATATACATTTTCCATATACATTTTTATAAGGGGAAGAATCTTGGCTTTCATGACTATGACACAAAATGTTTATGTGCAGAAAGGTCATAGAAAGAACAATTTAAAAAAATAAAAAATTAAAGTTGTGCTGGATATCAAAATCAAAATACTATTAATTACAAATCTGCAAAATTTTTGTAAATGTTTAGATTTTAACACTGGTGTTTTAAGAAGAGCATGAACAAGAGAAGGTGACAGAATAGAATTCAAGGAGTCAAGAGGTGCACTGCACAAGACTAGTTCAAAATAAATGAGCCAAACTTTTCTGTGGAATTATAAAGTGATCTTTTAACTTACTCCTGACTGTGAAGGAAAAGAATAAAAGGTGCCCTGAAATGGGCTTTTTAAGCATACGTATAGTTTAAGTACAAACTTATGTAATTGTATTATTGCTAGGTCATTTTCAGTCATGCACTTAGCTAACAGGGATACATTCTTAGAAATGCGTTTGACAATTTTGTTGTTGTGAGAACATCAGAGTGCACTCACACACCTAGATGGTACAGCCTACTATACAAGTAAGCTATATGGTTAGTCTATTGCTCCCAAGCTACAAGCCTATACAGCATATTACTGTACTGTAGAAAACAGTAAGATTAAATCAAGCATAAGCAAAATGATGCAACTAAGAGATACAGTCAAGTTAACATGGCAAACTGTTTCACTTTTTTTTTGGCATAAGTAGAAAGTACAGTCTGAAATAACATCAAAGTTTAGTGAAATAAATACATATATTCAATAACAGTTACACATGATCAAATACTATGACTGTACATAACAGCATGTGCTACATTTTTATATGACTGGCAGTGCAGTGTTTGTTCCCACCAGCATCATCAGAAACATGTGAGTAATGCATTTGCACTATTATGTCAATAGGTGATAGGAATTTTTCAGTTCCATTATAATCTTATGGGACCATGATTTATATGCAGTCTGTTGTTGACCACAACACTGATATGTGACATAAGGTTGTATTTATACATGATTTATAGCTGACATCTAAGTTTTTACCTGTTGCTCATGATATACTCTGAGAGCCTTTTTTACATTGGACACTTTTGGAGAACGGATAGGAAGAGTTTTTATTTCAGATGCTGTAAGAGTACTCAAATCACCAATTGTTCTTATATTCTTGGCTCTAATGAGTTGTCCCAGTCCTCTTGCCCTTGGACAGACAATGAGAAAAAGGTAGAATGTCATTGTTGTTTTATATTTATCCTATTTGTGAGGTCTTACCTACTTGGATTTCCTGATTTAAGTTCAATCATAAATCAATTTATATAGGCTTACCTAACCCACTGTGAGTAAAGGCACATGTACATTTAATTCAAAACAAAAAATTTTCATCTGATGTATATGCCTGGTTAAGCAACAGCATTGGAATCAGACTAAGCCTAGTATGTGCCTAATGCTTCACTAACATTATGACTGTGTGACTTCGGTGGATTAAGCTTTGTAAAGTTCATCTTAGAAACTGGAAATACTACTACTCTTATAGGGTTTATATTATGATTAAATAAGGTAATGTATACAAGTACCTGGTGAATAAGCACACAATTTATCTTAGCCATTATGACAAATGCTTCTCTTATTGTTCTAGCTGGCCCATCTTCACACCTGAAATTTTATTTATTTCTAAAATGTGTGTAAAAGTGCATATAAGTCAATCCTAAATATGAGAACCTTCATCATTTAAAAGGTCTTCTTAAATAGGATGCATCTTCAAGAAAAAGCTAGAGTCTAAATTACCACTTACCACATGTTTGATGTAATCTGAGGTAAAATGATGTCAACTGGTGCCATACAGTTCACTAAAGCTGGGTAAATACTTTCTGTTGGGCATGGTATGGATTCTTTAGCCATTTCTGTAATCTTAGAATAAATTTCAAAATCCATTAAATTGAGATTGCCTCACTTAAACATAAAAAGAAAAAGTTGCATGAAAACTAAAGCACTTCTTACTAAACACTTCTTTGAGCTCTTAAATTTAGGGCTACGTGATCCTGGGAACAGAAATCCTTTGCTTGAAGTAGTATTATTCTAGATAGAAGAAAGGAGAGAAAACAAACTCAGAACCCTAGATAACTATAATTTTACAACTTTATTTTCATGACTTAAGACTGTAACAATTTAGTATTTTCAGAAAATCTAAAATGGAATAAAGTACATTATCAATTACTTGCTGGATCACCATTACCTCTTACCACCTATTGTCTGCTTACCAAGTAGCAGACAAAAAAACAATATATCCAAACAAGTTTTCTTAGTTAATTTTAAGACAAACTATGCAATGCAATTCTATGCATACATGTACAGCTTACCTTAGACTGCGCAGTAGGTGAAGTTTTAACACTTTTTACTATGGGAGAACTATTTGAAGAATGAGCCCTAACAACAGAACATCGTCTATCAATGTCATCTGCCAATCCTGCTTGATATATTGGATCTGCAAATGAGACACGGCGAACCTAAAAAAACAGGTCATGTTTTTATTTAACAAAATTAAAGTTTTTAAAGAGAATACCATCAATTCTATTATCAGGTTACCTAAAAATAAAATGTAGGTTTAGAACCTTAATTTATTTCTCTAGAAACCAACTACACATAGCTGTAATTCTTCCCAGTGACTGCTGTCTGTGACAAACTATCTGTGAAAGCAGGTCATTCCAATAATCTATGTTCTAGAACAACAAAGAGTGAAACAGGACAGGAGTAGAAACTTAATGGAAGTGCATGTGGCAGCTAAAATAGTATAATCCAATTCTACTAATTTTATGGGCTTAACTATTAACTACAATGAATATAAAGAATAAGTAAAGAGGTAGACCCAGTATTAACTAGTCTCTGGTATATCTTAATCTCTGTTCGGAATTCTTTGAGGGTTCCACACTCACAGCAATTGGGTGGCAATTTTTGTTTCTTAGCTCCATCTTGAAGTCATTTTAGTCTCTTCTACCTCTTACAATATGTTCACTCATTCAGCCAGTTGATATAAATATGCAACGGAGCACTTAAATTGTTAAATACATATATAAATGTTTCCTAGTCTTGATTCCCCCCAAAGCGGGCAGATTCTGTACGTATCTGCTATAGAAAACTACAATAAGAGCCCTGGCTGGTATAGCTCAGTGGCTCAAGCATGGGCCTGGGAACCAAAGGGTCTCCTCCAGTTTGATTCCCAGTTAGGGGCACGTGAGAGGCAACTATACACTGATGTTTCTCTCCCTCTCTTTCTCCTTTGCTTCCCGTCTCTCAAATACATAAGACAAATGTATTTGAAAAAATAAATTAAAATAAAATTAAAAAAAAAAATTCTCAACAAAAAATAAAATCTTTAAAAAGAGAAAACTACAGTATGTTATATTGTTGCCTAAATAAAAATGAAATATGATACTATCAAACAAAACATAACTAATTTATATTAACAATCTAAAACTCAACAAATCCTCGCTTATACAATCAATCTACGACAAAGGAAATAAGGATATACAATGGGGTAAAAGACAGTCTCTTCAATAAATGATGTTGGAAAAACTAAACAGGTACACATAAAAAAAAGGAAAAGAAATTGGACCACTTTCTTACACCACACACAAAAATAAACTTAAAATAGGTTACAGACTTAAATGCATGAACTGAAACAAAAAATTTCTAGAACTAGAGGCAGTAAACTCTTTGACATCAGTCTTAGCAATACATTTTTGGTCATATCTCCTCTGGCAAATGCAACCACGGCAAAACTAATCAAACAGGACTACATTAAACTAGAAACTTTCTGCATAGTGAAGAAAACCACCAACAAAACAAAAAGACAGCCTACTAAATGGGAGAAGAATAGTTGTACATAATATACCTGATAAGGAGGTCTATATATAAAATATATAAAGGAATTCATGCAATTTAACACTAGAAAAACAAATAATCCAATTAAAAAATGGGCAGAGTCCTGAACAGACATTTCTCCAGAAGGCATTCAGATGGCCAACAGGCTTCTAAGACACTCAACATCACTAATTACTAGGGAAATGAAAGTCAAAACCACAATGTGATAGCACCTCACACCTGCCAGAACGACTACCCCCCCCACTCACCCACACACAAAAGACAAATAACAAGTGCTGGTGGCAGGGAGGCAGGGGAGAGGGATGTGGAGAAAAGGGAACCCTTATAATGCTGTTGGTGGGATTGTAAATTGGTGCAGGCACCATGGATAACAGTACGGAGATTCCTCAAAAAATTAAAATAGAGCTGCCATATAACCCAGCAATTCCACCTTTGGGTATTTCCTGAAGAAAACAAAAACGTTAATCCAAAAGATATATGCACTCTTATGATTACTGTAGCATTATTTACGATGGTCAACACCTAGATGACCATCAACAGAAGAATGGGTAAAAGATGTGATCTACACATAAAATGGAATATACCTTCAACAACATGGATGGATTTGAGGGTATTATGCTAAGTGAGACAGGGAAAGACAAACAGCATATGATTTCACTTATCTGTGAAATCTAAAATAACAAAACAAAAACATACCCATGGTAACAGAGAACAAACTAATGAGTGAGAAAAGGGGGGTGGATGAATAGGAAACTTTAAAAAAATTTTAGTATGAATAAAGAATGTTGGGTACTTTATAGGACTGATAAAAACACCAGTGGGCCCAAGCTTGGGGAAGGCATAGGAAATAAAACAAAGTATAATGAAGACATCAATGTCAATGCACTGCATCTTCATAAACTTGTCAAGAACTTCCATGGCCTATGTAATTAAACTTAAGATACTTTAAAAAAAATAGTAAGTGGTAGGCCACCAAATCAAACCAAACCAAACCAACAAAATACTCAAAAGAGGTTATATCTTTCCAAGGACTAATCTCTGAATTCTTAGTATAAAAATTTTTGGTATGTCCTGGGAATTCTTCACAATATGCTTGCTAAAGGCAAAATTATCAGTATCATTGATCTATATATATGTTTGTATGTATGACCAATTTCTTCTACTGTAAATGATACTCAATTTAAGATGGTGGCGTTTGTAAATGCAGTACTTGCATCCTCCCACAATCACATCAAAAATACTAAATTACAGAACAACCATCATTCAGAACCACCTGAAATCTAGCTGAATGGAAACTCTACAACTAAGAATATAAAGCAAGCACATCAAGACTGGTATTTACGAGTTCAGTGAAGGAGGAAAAATAATTATAAATGAAATTACACCCAAAACTTGATGAATACACAGCCTAATTTTTTTTTTAAATTAGATAAGGTCTGGAAGTTAGTTTATATAAACACCGGAATGTTGAAACACCATAATCTTCTAGTATACACAAGGGCTAACTAAAACTGCTTTTACCAGATTCTAAATCCACTTCTCCAAATACAATGGTATGAGGAGCAAGAAGAAATCATGAGAAATTCTCATCAATTTTGAGAATGGTAAACAATGTTCATAGTTGCATAAAGATATTTAGTATCCTGAAATAATGGAATACCTAAGGACTTCAGTCTCCTTTTCTGAATACTTGTCCTTCTATCTGCTCTTTTCCCTAGCCATTATGGTAAATATTCAAAGCAAGTGGTCATATAAGTCTAATGTTCTGTCATTCACCAGATGGTACTATGTAGCCAAAATATTCCAATTAAACATGGGTTATTAATATTCAGCCTCAAACCCCTACCTTGTGAACAGGCGATGAGATCTCATCTTCTTGGGGTCTTTTTAGTCCTCTCTTTAAAATGCTGCTGGATGGAGATGCCGAAGGAGACCAGAAACAGCGTGTGTGCATGCTACTAGGACTGTTAGTTGCTGACAAAAGTAAAGGATCAAATTCGCTTAATTTCTGAGGAGATGTATTATTGTCTTCTGGTATCAGTTCAGAGATGGCTCTTTCAGATGTCAGAGATTGTGATGTTTCCTTCGCTTTCTCTGTAGTATGGTGAACTTCCTGTAAAATTTCACCATCATTTCCCACTTTCATTTGACTGTCATCTAATTTTGTTTCTTCAGGTTTATTAAGTACAATGTTTGTTTCAATTTTATTAGAGTTAACCTTTCCTTCTTCAGTGCTTGTCTCAAGGGTGTTAGGAACAAAGTTGTCACTTTCTACATTCAATCTGTTTGTTCTGGCTTCTATAGGCTTTGATGTTTCTGAGGTCAAGTCCCTATTCTCCATTTCACTAACATGGTCAGTTTCAGCATTTACCTCACCAACCACTCTTTCTTCACTGTTTTCCATTTCAGCTTTCATTTCTTCAAGTGAGCCCGGATCGGGTTCATCATTTCCTCCATCGGGTCCTCCAACTGCTGTTTGTTCAGAAACCTCTACCTGAGCTCTTGCTTTTACAGGCATGGCACTATCAGGATGACCAATAGCTGGATTAAATTCCTCACTTACTGTTTCTTCAGCATTCAGTACTTCAGCTGCATCTGCTTCAGGTCCATCACTTCTTTTACTCTTTTCCTCTGTTGCCTCTTCCTCAAAAATATCGGTTTTGGCATTCTTTTGTTCACAGATGCTAGTTTCTGATCTATTATCACATTCCACATCCAATTCCATAGCTTCTACTTCTTCTGAACTGAATGCTGCTTTTACTTTACATGCATCTGCTTCAACGTTAACAATGTTTTCTGTACTTATGTCCTTTTCTTTGGTCTCCAAGGTAGAACATTCCAGTGAATCATCTTTGGAATCACCTAAACATGGGTCAACAGTTTTACATTTTTTATTGGATGGCTCTTGGCTTTCAATAGATACTGCTTCCTTGGAATTTGTATCACAGGCTTCTTCTTTAAAACTTATTATTTCAGAAGGAATAGAGTCCTGAATATTATTTTCTTCCAACTCAGTTTCATGTATATTCAATGAATCATTAATAGTATCATTCTCCTCCTTGAGACCCAAATGAAAATTCACACTATGATGCTCATCTAAAAGTTTAGCCTCAGAGTATACATCAGCTTTGTAAGTCTGTGATACAGTCAGGCTTGTTTGCACATCTACCTTTTTGGTTTCACTGACCTTTACATTGTAATTTTCTGTATTAGTTAACCCAAGGGGTGACTTTTCTTGAGGCTGTGATTTTTCTCCACAGCAATCACAACCTTTAGATCTTCTGACCCTCCTACTTCTCTTGTGTCGGCACTCAGGTTTTTGAAAAGTTTTCTCAGAGGCCAAAGAAATGTCTATTGTCCCTATTTTTGAGCATTCCTCTACACTGTTATTTTCTATGGAATCTCGCTTATGTAATCTCTTATTGGCATTTCTAGTCCTTAGATTTAATTCTGATGGAGAATTTGAAAAGGAATGTTCTGCACATTTGTTGGTTTTACTTTTTCCTTCATAAGTATTTGATATATCACAAACTTGCAATAAATCAGAAGGTAGAATAGTATCTTGAAGATCTGTTTTACTTTCCTCTTTTTCACAAATCTGAGATTTTATATTTGTGTCCACCTCAGAATTTGCTTTACAATCATGTGTCTGATTTTCAATTTTTATACATTCCTGTTTTTCCATTTTCTCCTCTTTGTCTTCAATGTCAACACTATCGCTGCTTTTGTTTTTCCATTTTCCAGATCTCTTCTTTCTAGAACCTTCTTCCTTTGCCTCAGAACTATCAGATTCGGAGTTTTCAATGCTGGAAAGTAAGCCCTGGGATGCTCTTCTTGTTTGATACCGTGTTCGTCCCCTTACCGGTTTCTCAAAGGACTTATCTGCAATGTCCTGGGCAACATCTCCCTCAGATTTAATATTCTCAAGGTCTGGCTTTCTTTTATTTTTGTCAATGTCAACATTAGTGCTGGTTTCCCCAAAAGTCTTCTCATGTAAAGTATCTTTCTCAATTAAATTTTCCTGTACAGTTTGTTCAGAAATCAGTTTTTGCTTAGGTAACACATCATCTTTTACATGTAGTGGACTCTTCTGAAGAGTCTTTTCTTCTTCCTTACGTCTTTCCTTTTTTTGGTGATTATTTTCTTTATCTTGGCTATCTGTGGTAGCCTCTGCTATTTCTGAACGTCGCCTTAACGATCGTCTAAGGGTTTTCTGATTCGGAGTTACCTGAACATGACTATCTTCATTTACCATTTGATCTGATGGTATTATGGCTGGGGGTGTATTTTCTTTGGATTCCAAATTACTTCCTAAGGTTTTCTCCCCTACAGTAGTGTTTTCTAATACAGCACTTTCTAGTGTTGTTGGTTTAAGCATTGCATCCTCACGTTCCACTGCTGATTCAGGGACATAAGCCTGATTATCTAACACACTTTCTGTTTGATTAAGCAAACCAGCTGGGTTATTTTCTAAGGCTACCATGCCTTCAATAGATTCCTGAGTATTTTTCTCCTTATCAGATCTCATTAAGAGCTTAGACCTTGCATTCTCTGTTTGTTCAGCTTTACTTGACCTTAGGCCTGTTCGCTTATTTCCATGCACTATTTTTTCACAGTCAGATTTTGAAAGAGCCACTTCTCTTTTCTTTGATTTTAGTGGAATGTCTGTTTTAGTCATGCCTTCCTGGTTATTTTTCACCATAACAGCTGATGACATATTATTCAAGGGGGACAGACTAAAAGGTCTATTTTCTGAACCATCAAACTTTTCCAACGTAATGAAGTTTTGCCTTCGACTTGTAGGCTGTGGCAGAGTTCCAGAAATGGTAGCCTTAGAAACTGAGCTGACACCAAAAGTGTTTTCTGCACTAGATACACATTCAGTTGACATATTCTTTGAGGAAATTAAAGCTTTTTTCCTGGCATCGTTATTACTACTTAGTATTCCTAGACTGGTTTCCTCAACAGAACCACACTCATTATTTGAAAGGGAAGTCTTTTCAAGATGTTCTTCCATACCACACTTTTCTGTAGCATCTTGAGTAATGACAATGTCACTCTTCATTTGTTCCTCCTGCACAGAAATGTATATATATATATAGATTAATCTGCATACAAGTCTGACTTTCTGGGAAAATTTTAGTGAGAAACCTCAGTAATTTAAAAGGCAACCACACACTTTCAATATTTTGCAAATATTCCAAAGGTGGTGGTAGATGTCCATTAATTTGTTTCTAATTGTAAATAGTCAATAAAGCTAAATACATTTAAACACCCTTGCCCCTTTGCCCCCGGCCCAATGACTACAATTCTGCAAACATCTGCTAATAGGAGCTAAAGAGATTAAGCAGTAAATCTTAAAATGAATACAAGAGACTCCATAATGGAAGAAGAGTGATATGAAAAACCCTGAAATATGAAATACCAAATATACCTTAAGTATCATCTTGGAATCTTCCTTTGATTTTTCAGCTAAACCAGGAATTTCCCTGAAATGGATAAATATAAATTAGAATAGTTTTTAAAAACTTTAAAAACCAGTTACTTCAGCTGCTTCCATACTTACATAGATTCTTCCTGACTATACTGAGAAAATAATGCATCTTGTGAAATATCCAAATTATTATACATGGCAGGAATATCACACCTGAAAAAGATTTTATAAGTTCAATATCTGAAATTCTTACAATTAGAAATCAAAACCACAATTCTATATCTAGTTTTGAAGAACAATGAAATATTAAGGCTTAGATGCTTATTTTCCACGAAACTATCTTCATTACCTCCTCCCACACTACGTCAATAGAGGAGTTAAGTTTAGAAACATTTGGTGCATTACTAGGATGACTTATACATAATGAAATATAGTTATGTACAGTGTATCCTCTCAGTATTAAAATATAGTACAGTATACACAGTATCTTTGCTCTAAAGACTAAGTTATAGTTTGCTGCATGACATCCAAGTGTGATTACAAAATACCCAATTCAAGATAACAGGACTACAAACCTCTTCGTTTTGAGTACTTCTTTCTGATGTTCAGTTAGTATTCTTTCCTTTGCTTCTTTTCCTTCTGGAGGTATAAACACAAACTCAGTAGACTTTTCTTCTTCCAAAGGCATTTCACTCCTTGCTTTGGGGGATGAAGATTCTAGTTTCAACTGCAAATTTTAAAAAAGTAAATGTACATTTGAGTTGCCAAATTATTTTTCCAATACTTCAATAAATCTCTCTTCCAACACTTTGTAAGGTTTTTGATAATGAGAAGTTTGAAGTTTAAACCCATACAATAATTCCTGGTTAATAACAATTAGTAATTGTCACTCCCTTTCATTGTACCTCTAACACTCAGAAAATAAAAATTATTACACTTTAAAAAGCAGCCAAGTGTGTGCTTACCAACAAAGCATGGGTAAATGTTTTTCAGGCCAACACAAAGAAATCAAGTTGTTTGACAAGAGTGTATCTGTGGCTCTCAAGGTGAACCATGAACGGAGCCGAGTTTCAGTTGCCAAAATAATATGCCCTACATACTAGTAACAATAGTATTATAATGTTATTTTTACATATTTTCAGCATGGTTATTTTCATTCTACTTTACCATTGCTACAAGACTCCACTGGAATTTTCCTTAAAATAACTTTTACTTTTCCAGGACCATGACCTCAAGATTCTAGAATATCCTTTATTAAGAGGTCATGGAAAAGAGAATTATTGTCCAAAAATCAGTTAAATGGCAACTAGCAAGAAAGTTTTAAGTTTGAGGCTAAAAACAGATTTTTTTTACCTAGGCATTCTGTTCTTACTCAATAACAGAAGTTCCAAAATATTTTTTCTCTTATGTTAACTATGTTATAGTTATTCATACTTACTTTAATTCCATCTCCAAGAGGCTGCTATTTAGTGGATGCTAAGTATTATGCAGACATAATTTTACTAAGAAGAAATCATCTCCCAAAACTTCTAGATTACCATGTCATCCTAGCATTAGGTCTTTTTGGACCAAACTCAGATTCTCCTGCAATCTCATCTTTTATTACACTTTAATAGTTTTCTTCCAGTTAGAAGTTGTGCGTTTTCAAGCTATCACATACTTTAAAAGTTCTATGAAATAAACTTTGGAAAAACCTACATTGGCTGGTGATTTCATCTTTTCCTTTGTACTCTTTGGTTGTGTCAAAAAAGAATCTCTTCTTCCACTTGACTTTCTTTCCATGCCACTTATCTTCACATTTAATTGTGAATTTTCTGTCTGTTTTAGGACAAATAAAACACCATTTCATTAAGTGAAACTGTTCTATTTTATTTATCCATTTATCCAAAATGGATAAATATCCAAAATGGAATGTTTTAAAAATTCCATTTTGATAAAATACTCAATTCAAATTTCTTTTGAAATTATTCAACCCTCGTAAAATCATGTGAAAGAAAGGAATGCACTAATTCAGTAACAGCACACAGGTTTGGTATCTCCATCTTATACAATAGCTGTTTTGCACCACTTAATTTTTATGAATTCTGAAAATAAGATATACCACATAAATACTACAAAAATAAATCTAATTACTAGATTCAAACCCCCTCCTATTGCTGGAAATAGTTCTATAAGAAAAATCAAAGTCATAAAACTTTAGAAATTAAACAATAAGGCATGCAGAACATGATTGACAGGGAATCACACCCTGGCTGCTGTGGCTCAATGGGTTGAGTGCTGGCCTGCAAACCAAAATGTTGCTGTTTTGATTCCCAGTCAGGGCACATGTCTGGGTTGTGGGCCAGGTCCACAGCGGGGGACACACAAGAGGCAACCAACAGTTGTTTCTGTTGCTCATCGATGTTCCTCTCCCTCCCTTTCCCTCTTCTCTAGAAATAAATATACCCTTAAAAAGAAAAGAAAGGAAAATTTACAGGGAATCAGCAATAGAGTGGCTAAAGCTGAGAATCAAATCAGCAATTTGGAACATAAGGAAGCAAAAAACCATCAATCAGAACAGCAATAAGAAAAAAGAATCCAAAAAATGAGGATAATGTAAGGATACTCTGGGACAACTTCAAGCATATCACATTCGCATCATTGGGGTGCAGGAAGGAGAAGAAAAAGAGCAAGAAATGGGAAACCTATTTGGAAAAAATAACGGAAAACTTCCCTAACTTGGTGAAGGAAATAGACATACAAGCCCAGGAAGCAGAGTCCCAAACAAGATGAACCCAAAGAGGCCCATACCAAGAAACATCATAATTAAAATGCCAAAGGTTACATAAAATGAGAGATCTTAAAAGCATCAAGAAAAAAGCAGTCTGTCACCTACAAGGGAGCTGTCATACGATTGTCAGCTTATTTCTCAAAAGAAACTTCGCAGGTGAGAAAGGATTGGCAAGTAATATTCAAAGTGATGAAAAGCAAGGACCTACCACCTATATTACTCTACCCAGCAAAGCTATCATTTAGAATCTAAGGACAGACAAAGAGCTTCCCAGACAAGAAAAGAGTTCATCACCACCAAACCAGCATTATGTGAAATGTTAAGAGTTTTCTTTAAGATCAAAAATATGAACAATAAAATGGCAATATATATCTATCAAAACAAAATAAACAAGCAAAACAGAAACAGAATCACAGATACAGAGAGAGTTTTGATGGTTGCCAGATGGGCGGGGGATTAGGGGATGAGTGAAAAAGGTGAAGCAATTAGTAAGTACAAATTAGTAGTTATAGAATAGTCATGGGGATATAAAATACAGAATAGGGAATGGAGTAGCTAAGGGACACATATATATTTACCCAGGGACAGGGACAATAGTGGGGGGATTGCCTGAGGGAGTGCGGAGCCTCGGTGGAGGGGGACAAAGGGGGAAAACTGGGACAACTGTAATAGCATAAATCACAACATGTAATTTAAAAAAACTGTATCAAAACCCAATAAACAAACTAATCAAACATCATTCAAAAGTAAAACAAAAAACACCAAACTTACTGAACTTACTGTATCTGAATATGGTCCACTGGATTCCTCCAAAATTTCAACATTTTCCAAACCAGGCAACAAAAGCAAAATTTTTTGTTTGGTTTGTCTTAATACTGGTCTTAAAAAAAAAAACAAATACAAAACCCCATAAATATAGACAGACAGACAGACAGACAGCCACACACACACACCCCCCACCCCCCCCTTGAGTCAAGTAGTACAGCTAAGTATAGATTATGTTAACAAGAACACTTTAATTATAATCTTAAAGTGGCAAATTATATCCAGCTTAAAGACTACTTCTTACTCTACAAATTGGGAGAAATTGCTAGCAATATTTACACTTTTTGCTAAATACTTCAATTTCCAAATTTTCTTTTTAAAAAGCTTTTTAAAATTTCCAAACTTTTATTGTAGAAAATGTCAAACAAATATATATTACGTTAGGAACCCATGTGCACATCACCTAGATTTAATAGCTATCAATTTCTTGCCTTTTGTCTTTTTTTTGTTAAGTATAATTTCAAATTAGTTTTCATGTTCCTAAAACCAACAGATTATGACTCTAAAAACCAAACAGTCTAATGTTTAATAATTTCCATGTATTCCACAAAACAATTTTTTTACTAAGGAATCTCCTGCATTAATTCCTCATAAAACATTTATGTTTAAACCAAAAAATGAATTTACATGATCACAACAGAGTAACTATATAAGAGTTTTGTGGTTAGCATACTTTAACTCTTCAGGATAAATCAACATCGTCGCTTTAGCAAATGTGGCATTCCAAAACTGAGCACTCTGTTTTCGAATCTGTTTATTCTTGTGCAAAAACATTATGCATAATAATGGGGAGATCTGTTCAAGAAGTTCACTGTCGTAAGTTCCAGTGTAGCTGAAGTGTAGACAAGTAATAATTTCTCCCAGTAGCTTTTCTAACTGGGAGAAAGAGAAAGTTTATTAGGGTAATGCCTGGCAATGTTACATTTAAAACAAAAGAAAAAAAACCATGAAGTATACTAAATATAAAAACTCACAAAACATATGACTGTTTCAATTTTTAAAATTCAAACGGCTTTAAAAAACTCCCATCCATCACCTTAAATGTGCTCATTATAAGGTGATAAATTATCATGTGAGTTTGCTTTGATTATTAATAGCATAACCTTATTTCAAAGCTTATTTTCCATTAACAGAAATAAATTTTCACATCATTTAAAATAGATTAATAGTGTATATACAGTTGTACATATAGAGCATTGAAACCCATTACCCATATATAAAGAGACTAAGATAGGAGTGGATGACTTATACAAACTTAAAGCAACATTATTAAAATCCTTCTTTAAAATAACTATCCTTTGAAAAAAGTAAAAATTTTTTTGTGAACCAGCACTAAGACAAAGTGGTTGAGAGGATACAGATCAGTGCTTCTCAAACTATGGTCCTTGGATCAGCAGCAACAACATGACTTGGGAACTTGTAACACAAATTCCCAGGCACCAATCAACACCTGGGCTAAAGCCTAGAATTTGTGTTTTAACAAGCCTTCCAGTTAGTTCTGGAACAGGTGCAAGTTTGAAGGCCACTGGGAGAAAGCATATGGATTTCAGAGCTGGGAAAGAAGTCCAGAGAGCCTGAATTCTGGCAGGCCCAGGTTCTTCATTTGCAAACTCTGTGAAAATAGCATATTTTAAGCAAACAAAAATAAACTATCTTTGGACTGTTTCTATGTCATGTTATTCAATGTGCATTAAAGTTGAAGTATAATAATAATCCCCTTTAAAATAAGCAGAATTATATTTAAGGAAGACAATTATTTAAACTCTAACACTTTTCTCACCATAAAAGCATGTTTATGGATAATTGTTGATTTTTACCTTATTGTTCATACAACTATACACTTTAGGAACTTCATCAAGCCTGTGAAGAAAAAAAGCACGCAATATCATTTATGTTTCAGAAAAGTTAAACCTAGAAGTATCATAATGCAGCCATAAATATGAGACATGCCTGTACAGTGATAAAGTTTGCTATAAAGAATACTGATGAATCTTTAAAACTGCTTTTAAAAAGTGTATTATTTATGATTTTTAGTTTTTAGGCATTATTTCAATTAAATGTAAATTAATACAAATTTGGAATTTTACCTCCCAAAATTCCAAATAATTTCACTTCTATGATCTTGTTCTGCAGAAATATTGGCAATGTTTTTTTGTACAAATATGTTCAACTGCCAGAAAAGGCTAAAAAAAAAACCATGTATGCCCACCAACAGGTATATGGGTAAAGTTTCATAAAACCCTATGCAACAGACATTAAAAAGAATGAGATTCTTAGGTGTATGGTGCAGGCAAGATGCATATAATATACTGAGTACACAACACATACTTCACTGCAAAGTAGCATGTCAAATATGCCTTCAGATACATCATACATTTAATAGGTATGCTTGTTTGTATTAACAAATCTAAAAAGATACGCACTAAATCAAAAAGGGGTTTGGACATGTAATATAAAAGGACTACTACCTCCTATCTATGTATGATTTCAACTATTTTTTTAAACAAACGCAAGGTTTAATGTTATTCTCTCCACAAGACCGCAAAAAATTATTAAAAAGCTCATAGAAAAATAACAAGTTTGCTACTTAGATCTAAATGATATACATATATTTCAAAGCCATTAAGCCCAAATACTTACTTTGAGTTTTTGTAAAATAATGCCAGAGGCCTTGTTAAAGTTGCAAATATTTTTCGAATCATAGAGGGCAAAGAAATATGTCCAAGTACATTGGAAAGAATGCCAGTGATTGAGTTGCCAACAGCGACGAGAGTATCAGAATGTACTTCCTTGAGGCTCAGAGTGTGAAAAGAATAGATGACTCTCACAATAAGTTTAATTAAAGAAGCCAATTTTCCCAGAGGCTCCTTCTTCTTTTTGGACCAATCCAAAGGTCTCTTCAGTGCTAAGATAAAATAGAATTAAAAACTGAAGCACTTTTAAAAGTGTCACTGTCCCTCTTTACATCAAACATTTAAATGACAGATACATCTAGTATACTTGCTTCTGAAGTAATATCCACAAATCTTTAAATTATATATATACCAGTAACAGATAAATACCACTACAACACCACCTTTAAAAGAAAATTAACAGATAAAAGGAAACGGGGCAGGTCTGTAATAAAAATTCTGGAAAAAAATGCATCTTTTTTCTCTTAGACATTATAAAATGCATTTCAAATTTTAATTTATAGTCTCAGAATTTCAACAACTAATTTGAAAGAAAGTACTAAATTATATGATAGGTCCCAAAATTTGAAGTCATTTTGGAAAATAAACAAAATTTTCCTTAGAAATTGTTTTCTGGCTTACTTACAATAGTATACACTGAACTAACACTGAACAAATTAGAGATCCAAATTCTCAAAAGAATTTTTAAAAAGGCCCAGATTTAAAGAAAAAAATGTTGTCTTAAAAGCACTATCCAACTTTCCTTAGTAGCCTTAGACTACATTCCTCTTAATGTACCTAACCTAGATGGATAAACTTGTCAAGGAAATCAAACTCATTCAAAAATTACCTTGTTTCCCTCAAAGAATCCATTCTTTAAAGGTAAGATATATTAGAGATTTAAGGGAAAACTAATTCAGTGTTTGTTAATTAAAATATCATGAAAAAACAAGTGCTGCTACTAAAAGGAAGTCAATATTCCTCCCCTAAAAACTACTTCCCAGATATAAATATAAATTGGAAAGGCTACCCAAGAATTCTTGGACAGGATACTGAGGCTGAGCAGAAAGCCTGTGAGTCAGGAGGCTGGTTACATACAAGAAACTGATTAAACAGTAAATATATTGAAGGTGATAGAGGTCAGAATTCTATTAGAGAAGGGAGGTAAATAAATAAAAGGGCAAGATTGAAATAAACCATTAGATACTTGACAGTAACTGAAAGTATATCAAGAGAAACAGGTAATTAGTGCGTGGTTCACAAACACACCTTATTTCTTCCACTTCTGTCTAGTGAGAAGATTCAGAAGCAGTGAACTTTAGTAGCAATAAACAGAGTTCCTAAATGTCATTCTCAGCTAAAAGGAACCATGTTCCTTGGAGAATATAAACTCTCACTTTGGGAATTATCATAGTGTTTCAGGCAAAAAGTATCAATGAATGATAAACTTATGGCTGTAAGTTTGCTGAGGAACAGGATATTTACCTATCTTAAAGATCTGCCACAAACATTTATTTACTATTTTTATAATGGAAAACCTGGCAGATGCCATCTTAACCAAATAGTAAATGTTCACATTAACAGTAATGGGACAAACTAGGATTGTGTGCCTGCCATAATGCACTGGAAAAAACTACAGCATTACACTTGCGTTGTATCCCAGTGAAGAAATGAATGACACTAGAATCTAATCTTGAGGAAATAGTGACAAACCCAGACTGAGGAATTCTCATGAAGTAAACAGCCACTGCTCTTCACTTTTGAAGGTCATGAAAGACAAGACACAGTAATTGTTTCACATTGAGAACTTGTCTACAACTACTTTGAAATGGTTCAAGTGGAAAAAAAAAAAAAAAAGAATGAATAAAACGTATACATGGGGAAAAACAGGAAAAAAACACACAATCAACTGTAGACTAAGGAGTCTAAGTGCCAGTGTATAATTCTTGTATAAAACAAATTAATACAAAACAAGTTATCAAAAACCAAAAATGATCCTGACACATCCATGAATATTCTCTTTCAACTATTTTTACTCCTCCCTCCACCCCCGCCAGCCACATCTTCTGCTGGCAGATTTTAGAAATCGCCTCCAGTTTCCATGTATTTAATAAATAGCAAGAACACCTCTTTCATGACAAGTGAAAAAGACGAACTTGTAATGTGGATTTAATTCTACCTTTTCAGAATTAACAAAATACATAAAATTGTGTCCACATGGGGATTACCATCATGGCCTTATCAAACGCCAGTGGCTTAAAAAATAATGTCGGATATTTGTTATACAATCTTTTAATAGTTATGGTATTGAGACACAGTTTTATTTTTGTAACACACTGAGATAATCAATTAGGTCCTGTTCAGCCCAAGAGGAGTGCTGAAACAAAAAATTTAAGTACATCTATAACCTGTTTCTGTGGCACTCAGGCTGAAATGCTATGACTTATACTTTAGACACTTACCATGTTTCTCTATATTGCTATTTATTAAAAACTGAAACATCAAAAAAATTCTAAAAATATTCTATATTCTAAAGCTATTCACATTAATTCATCAGGGATAGATCTTATTAAAGAAAAATTCTGTTCCCCATCTTTAGTCAAGAAAAGTAGTATCTTTATAAACATCACTGGAAGGTTATTTTCTATATAGTATGCACATACACATTGGTGGAAACATTTAATTTCAAAGAATCAATTATGTTAAAACAGCTCAGTATTTATTACAACATGATTTAGGATTGACCAACGTATGCTGTTTGAAAAAGCATAACACTAAGTCAATTGTCCAACTCTAACTAAAATGTAAAAACTAAGCTAAATTTTTAGAATCATTTTAATTTTTCCATAAACCATAACCAATTAACCACTGCCATGCTTTCTACTCAATTTAATGTCAGCTCAATGACTATTTCCAATCAAGCTACCACATAGGAACATTTTAAACAAATATCAAAGTTTCTTGTCCAGAACAGTCCTAGTACCCAATGGAGTAAGTAAAATCACTTGTATTATTAGGCAACGTCTAAACAACATATTTATCTTTCTGAGTTATAAAAAGGAGTAAAGACATTGTGCGTGTGCGTGAGAGAGAGAGAGAGAGAGAGGAAAAAACATAATGAGTGCACTTTTCAGCTCCTAGCACAGGAACTGATGTGGTTATAAAATGTCAAAAGTAGATAAATGAAGGGAAAAAAACATTAAGATTTGCCATAACAGTTGAGACAGGCATGTTTACAAAATAGTTGGGTGAGCAAATAAAGGTAAAGAAAATACTTACATTTAACTCTGGATTGAATTTTAATATCATACGGTGAGAAGTCGATGCAATCAACCATTACAGTAATAATATGAATGGTTCTATCCAAAAATAATAAATTCTAGGGAAGAATATTTAAAAAGTATTATATTAGAATGTTTCAATTATTGGCATAGTTTTCAAAATAGTAAGCATCAAAAAAATATATAAAAGACTTTTACTCCCATCTATATTTAATAACACAAAATGTGGCTGATACCATATAATCTACCTTAAGATTATTATTATGAATATTTCCAAGTTAACTGTTACGTCAAATACTATACTTTTGTTTCCCAATATACAGAGAAAATAATTTAGCTTTAAGATGCCCATAAAACTCAGCATGCGAACTAATAAATTGAGAATGGAAGAGCTACCTTCATAATTAGATTCTTTATCAAATTCCTTTTGAAAATTATGTCTTCACTAAACCCAGAAAAACAAAACAAAACAAAGTTCAGAAAGTTGTTAAGCTTCCTCATATCCTTTCCACATCTTCCTCCTCCTCTAATTCAAATGAATTAAAAATAAACCTATAAGCCTTGGCTGGTGTGGCTCAGTAGACTGCCAGCCTGCGAATCAAAGGGTTGTTAGGTCAGTTCCCAGTCTAAGGCACATAACTCGGTTGTGGGCCAGGTTCCTGGGGGGCTGAGGGGAGGGGGTGGCACACAACCATACACTGATGTTTCTCTCTTTCTTCCCTCCCCTCTCTAAAAATAAGTAAAATCTTTTTAAAAAATTAAAGTAAAAAAAGTAAACAAACAAAAAAACAAAACCAAAAACCCCCCAAAACACCCCCCCATAAAAGTATCAGAGAATTTTGTGGATATTTATTTAAAGGCACGGGTCAAGTGAGGATGTGGGGACTGGTTTTAGGGGAAGGCTAAAAACAGAAGGAAATCTCAGTACTGTAAATCAACAAACACCTCAAAAATAGCTTTCCTAGCAGAACGTGAATAATGGAAGACACCCTGAGGGCTCAGTGAAAAAACAAAACAAAACAAATAACCTAGCTATTAAAAACACAAATGGTTGCCCTGGCTGGGTGGCTCAGTCAGCTGCACCATCGTCCTAAACATGAAAAAGCTTGCAAGGTCGATCCCTGGTCCAGGCATATTCCTAGGTTGTGGGTGTGATCCCCCATCGGGACATATATGGGTGGCAACCAGTCAATGATTCTCTCTCACATCGATGTTTCTAGCTCTCTCCCCTTTCCTTTCTCTCTAAAATCAGAAAATATATCCTTGGATGAGGATAAAAAAAACAAAAACAAACCCCATAAACCCCACAAATGGTTAATTAAAAGACTACTAAAATTAAAAATCTATAAAACAGTTTATTCTTCCTTTATTTCTCCATTACCTTCCACTAGTCTATTTCACTGGACTAATTCACATGTCTGCCCTCAAAGATATCTTCCCCCAATGGTTGTTAAGGGACAGGAGGAGAAAGACAGTGCCCAATTACCCTGTGAAAACCATGTGGAATATCAGTCCAAATGACAATTTACACACTTATATAGAAAAGGTGCTTCCTTTCTTGTTCACAGTGACAAGGTAAAGAATGTCTGTAGCTATAATTTGCTATCAAAGCCAGAAAACAGAGGCTCTCTCTTGGATTAGAAAACACACTGAAACTACCAACATTATTCAATATTAATACTCCTATTGACGAATATGCAAAATCATGACAAACAGTCCTGAAAGGAATGTTAAATACCAACAGAACTAACCATTAAGAAAAGGGCTAAGATGAGAAAGAGGAAACTAATATCCCCCAAAGTCAGAGGAAATCCTATTTACTTAAAAACATTAAATGTAAAACAAAAACATTATAAAATGTCTGAACATTTAAGTTGCAAAGGAAGGAATACACGGAGATCAAGCTCCCAAAAAGCAGTACCAAAAGCAAAACACAAACACATGTAGAAAAAGAAAAGGGATAGAAGATAAACCCAAAAGGTCTAAAAACCACATAAAATGGTATTCAAAAGGAAGGACTGAGGAGTACCACTAAAGCAAGACTTTCCCGAGATGACACAGCTCTTAAGATAAGAAGGGCCAGGAAGACCCAGGCTGGCAGGGGACTAAGTGGAAGGTATACTAACTACTTCCCAGGACCAATTTGGAATTACAACTAAGCTGCATAGAAACCATCCAGAATAACCAACTTGAACACTAGTTGGAAAGAAGCCTTATAGCCAAGGATAGACAGAAGAAACCACTTCACAACAACATGATTGGTATTGAGTGTAGAGGAGGCAGGAGAGGGCTTGCTGGGCTCCCATGGGCAGCAGATGGAGATCCAGAGGATATTTCAGCCACTGCAGGATTCCCCTGAGAAGTGTGGGGTCTAAATCCAAAGCTGGGCTCCCCAGCCTGCACCACCAGAGCCAAAAAGGAACCTAGCTAACACTGAGCTATGAAAAGCAGCGGGGTTTCTGTCCAACAAAGACAGACACGTGGAGATGCAGAGAGCCTCTTAAAGGGCCAATCCACAAAATTTCGTTTGTAGCCACTACCCTGGCTCAGGCACAGGGAGGGCAAAGTGGACCAGAGACCCAAGAGGAGAGTCTGGGACTGGTAGCTCTGGGGGGAAAACTGAAGGAACAGTTGCCAGGATCCCTATGCTGAGCCATTCCTCATACTGCAGGGGCCATCTCTCTCAGGCAGAGGACTCCTCTCCAAGTGGCATCAGCCTGAGGGGAAGCAGTAACTCCACCTGCAGGAATTACTCTGCCCTACCCTGTGGCGCTTAAGCTGGACTGCTGATTACATCTTGATTAGTTCAGAGACTGATCAGTTTAGCTAGTGATACGTTTAACAGCTAAGGTGGAAACCACAAAGTAGCAGCTAAAATGCAAAGACAAACAGACCTTCAAGTGAAAGAACAAGAGAATCATTCAGAAGAGCTAGATGAATGTAAAGGTAAGCAATTTATCAGAGTTTAGAGTAATCATTATAAGAATACCCAAAAGCATGAAAAAAGACACAGAAACCATAAAAAGGACCAGTCAGAAAAAAATAATACAATATCTGAAATAAATAATACACTGGAAGGAATAAACAGTAGGTTAGATGAAGCAGAGGACCACATCAGTGATTTGGGAGACAAAGTAGAAAAAAACATCTAGGCAGAGAAGCAAAATGAAAAAATTAAAAGAGAGCTTAAGAAATATTTGGGATACGATGAAGCATAACAACATGTGCACCATAGGAATACCAGGAGAGAGCGTGTAAGAGATCAAGAAGCTATTTCAAGAAATAATGATCAAAACCTTCCCTAATCTGATGAAGGGAAAAAGACACACAAGCCCAGGGCTCTCAGAGAGTCCCAAACAAGTTGGACCCAAAGATGCCTACTTCAGGCCATATTATAATTAAAATGACATGGTTTAAAGACAAGGGAAAGAATCCTAAAAGCTGCAAAAGAAAAGCAGGGAGTTACTTACAAGGTAGCACAAATTATAGTGCCATCTGGTTAACTCAACAGAAACATTTCAGGCCAAAAGGGAGTGATGTGAAATATTCAAGGTGATGAAAAGGACCTACAACCAAGGTTACTTTACCCAGCAAGGCTATCTTTTAAAATCAAAGGAAAAATAAAGAGGTTCCCAGACAAGAGAAAGCTAAAGCAGTTTAACACCAAACAAGTACAGCAACAAAATATTAAAGCAGGGGTGTCCAATCTTTTGGTAACTCTGGACCACACTGGAAGAAGAGTTGTCTTGGGCCATACATTAAATACAGAAAAACAGTAACGAAAGGTGAGGAGTGTAAAATAGGTTCATGCGTGATTTTTGTGGTATCTGCCACCACAGATAAGCAAAAAAGTCCTCACATAATACCCTAATTACACAGCGGCCCTTTCGATAATCTTCTAAATTGTCAAGCAGGTCCCAAGTTGTGATCAATATAGAAAATATGCATATCTAAGTGATAAAACTAAGTAATGTTTTAAGCAAATTTATGACTTGGTGTTGGGCCACATTCATAGCTATCCAGGGCCACATGAAGCCCACACACCGCGGGATGGACACCTCTGTGTTAATTGACTTGGTTTAAGAAGAAAAAGTGAAAGAAAAAAGACCAGAGGAAGGAAATAAAGATCCGAGCAGAAATAAATGAAATAGTCTAAAAAAAAGATTCAAAAGATCAATGCATCCAAGAGTTGGTTCTTTGAAAAAAATAAAGATTGACAAAACTTTAACCAGACTCATCAAGAAGAAATGAGACAGGACCCAAATAAATAAAATCAGAAATGAAAGAGGAGGAATACCAACACCAAAGAAATAAAAAGGACTGTAAGAAAATATGAACAATTATATGCCAACAAACTGGACAACCTGGATGAAATGGATGAATTCCTAGAAACATACACTCTTCCAAAACTCAATCAGGAAGAATCAGAGAATATGAATGAATAAAGAAACTTCATACAGTGAAACTGTAGCAGTAATCAATAAACTCCCCCAAAACAAAAGCCTTGAACCAGATGGCTTCACAGGGGAATTTTAACAAACATTAAGAGAAGAACTCTGCTTCTCACACTATTTCCTAAAATTCCAGAGGAGGAAAAGTTCCAAACTCATTTACAAGGCTAGCAGTATCCTAATTCCAAAACTAGATAAACACAATAAAGAAAGAAAATTATAGACCAATATCTCTGATGAACATAGACGCTAAATGTTTAGCAAATCAAATACAGTTATGCATCAAGAAGATCATACACCATGATCAAGTGAGATTTATTCTGGGAATGCAAGGTTGGTATATCATTTGCAAATCAATAAATGTGATTCACCACATAAACAAAATGCAGATAAAGCATTTGATAAAATCCAGCACCCATTTATGATAACTCTCAGCAAAGTGGGAGTAGAAGGGGCACCCCTAAACATAATAAAGGCCATATATGACAAAACTTACTGCCAGCATCATACTGAATGGGCAAAAACTATGAACATTTCCGTTAAGACCAAGAACAAGACAGTGATATCCACATTAATCTCTTATTCATTATAGTACTGGAAGTCCCAGACACAGCAATCAGACAAGAAATAAAAGGCATCCAAATTGGAAATAAAGTAGTAAAACCGTCTTTATTTGCCAATGACATGATTCTGTACATAGAGAGCCCCAAAGATCACCAAGACTATTAGAACTGGCATATGAATTCAAACCATCCCATTCACGATTGCTTCAAAAAGAATACAATATCTAGGAATAAACCTAACCAAGAACATAAAAGACCTGTACTTGGAAAATTATAAGACACTGAAGAAAAACATTGAAGATACAAGTAAGTGGAAACACATACCATGTTCATGGATAGGAAGAATTAACATCATTAAAAATGTCCATACTACCCAAAGCAATCTATAGATGTAACGCAATTCCTATCAAGATTTCAATGACATATTTCACAGAACTCGGAAAAATATTTCAAAAATTTATATGGAACTACAAAAAGCCATGCATAGCAAAGCGATCCTGAGAAAGATCAACGAAGTTGGAGGAATTGTGCTACCTAATAACCAACTGTACTATAAAAGGCCATAGTAATCAAAATAACAGAATAGAGTCCAGAAATAAACCCACACCTATAGTTAATTAATATTGGAAAGAGGATGTAAATACTACAATTGGTAGAAGACAGTTTATCCAGTAAATGGTGATGGGAAAATTGAACAGATATATGCAGAGAAATGAAACTAGACCACCTTTTTACTGAACACAGAATAAATTAAAAATGTATCAAAGACTTGAATGTTAGACCTGAAACCATAAAAATCCTGGAAGAAAACACAGGCAGCAAAATCTCGCGTATTGCTCATAGAAATTTTTTATCTGATATATCTCCTTAGACAAGAGAAAAAGGGAAAAAATAAACAAATGGGACTACATCAATCTGAAAAGTTTTTGCACAGCAAAGGAAGTTGTCAATACAATAAAAGACAACCCCGAGAATAGGAGAACAAATTCACTGATACATCTAATAAGGTGTTAATATCCAAAATTTACAAGGTACTTCCAAAACTCAACACCAAGAAAAAAAACCAAACCACCCCAATTAAAAAATGGGCAAAGAACCTGAGTAAACACTTCTCTGAAGAGGACATACGGATGGTCAATAGACATATGAAAAGATGCTCAATGTCACTAATCATCAGAGAAATGCAAATTAAAACCACAATGAGACACCATCTCACAGCTATCAGAATGGCTATCATCAATAAGTCAACAAACAAGAAGCACTGGAGAGGATGTGGAGACAGGGGAACCTTCTTGCACTCCTGGTGGGAATGCAGGCTGGTGTAGCCAGCATGGAAAACCGTGTGCAGATACCTCAAAAAATTAAAAATGGATCTTCCCTTTGACCCTGCAATCCCACTTCTGGGAATATATCCAAAGGAACTCAAAAATCTAATTCAAAAGAACATAAGCACCCCTCTGTTCACTGCAGTGTTATTTATAATCACCAAGACACAGAAGCAGCCCAGTGTCCATCAATAGATAGGTAGATAAAACAACTATGGGGCATTTACACAATGGAATACTACTTGGCTTTAAAAAAGAAAATTTTACCCTTTGCAACGGCATGGATGCACCTGCAGAACATTATGCTCAGTAAATAAGCCAATAAGAGAAAGAAAAACACCATATGATTTCACCCGTATGAGGAATTTAATGAACAAATGAACCAGCCATTTACGTGAAAATAATCCTTTAAATTCAAAAATAGGTCAGTATCAGGATAAACTCACTGAACGGTCTTCATCTTCCAAACAGGCCATTATCTTGGAAGAAAGCTCCTCACAGCACAAATTCTCTTCTGCAGTTGCCACTAAAGCAGCACAGCGGGCAAACGCTCTATACAATTCTGACCAAGTTCTAAGCAAGATCTTCATGGTGGCCTAACAATAATAGTAAAGTAAGTAAGTAAGTAAGTAAGTAAATAAATAAAGTATTTACATGTCAGACACCTAATAGAATACATCTGTAACATTTTAAAAAGCACTAACATTAAAGTGTCATGAAAGAAACTAGTGCATAGTAATAAGTTTGCCCCCCCACAGTGTTCTAATAGAAGAATTGTAATAATGCTACAATACCAGCAACTATGAAGGGTTAAAAGGAACTCTCTTCACCATTTTCCTTTCCCCTATATTGTCATGAGAAAGTCTTATTTTAGGAAAAATTACTGGAGAAGTTCATTATAATGTGTGACATGTTTTCAGAAAAATGCAAATTCCTTAAATAAAAATTTGACATTGTCTTACCACTGGAAATTTCTGTACTGAAAAAATATGGTTTATTGGTAAAGTCAATGCACCATAGATGGCACTAAAATTATGTTCTAAGGCATCACCTTGATTTACTTCATTGGTCTGAAACAAGAAAAATTACAAAGAAGTTAGACAAATTATCACCTAATACTAGTGTCATAAGTAATAGAATTGTGTCCCCCAATGTTGAGACGTTCAAGAGACGATAAACTAACACCTAATCAAATAACTGGTGATTTTGTAAGGGGAATTTTACATAGAGAAGGTGTAAGAGTGCCATGTGAAGTTGAAGCCTGAGATTGGAGTAAGGATTATACAAGCAATGAAACACCAAGAATTGCCAGTGACCAACAGAAGCTGAGAGATGCATGAACAGATTCTCCCTTAAGAGATCCAGAGCAACAAACCCTATTGTCACCAGCTTTACTTTGAATTTCCGGCCTTCAGAGCTTTAAGGGAATAAATTCATTCTGTTTTACACCACCAGTTTGTAGCAATTTGTTACAGCAACTCTGGGAAACAATGCACTGTGTTTCATGTCATAAAAAAGAAGCCCAGAGTTGACTTCAAAATCTTTTCCTATACACTAAAGGTAGCATTTCAGGCAACGACTTAAAAAAAAAAGAGCCTGGCTACTTCCCAAGGAATGGGAAACTAAGAATGTAAACTATTTTCTTTGAGAAGACTATGTTTAATGATGTCCTGGCTTGAGTTGAGTAGCCAAAATAAAGGCTATCGCACTATCACATAATGAATTCTATGCAGTCATTACTTGAGAGCTATGGTGAAATATTTCCTGGAGAATACTTCCATTTAAATATTGATAAAGCAGCTGACAAACCAACAGTAATGATAAAACTTGAGCTCCATGCCTTGCCAATACTGCCACATATTTAAATAGAAGGGTTAATCAACTCCCAACAGATTATGGATTTAGGTACAACTATATGGCTTCATCAACATGGCTTGATCATGGAAATCCTAATATAGTCAAGATGACCATTATTATTCCCCATAATACAAATACTGAAAGAATCCAAGATACAAATAGAAAACTTGTTATGTATCATATGTAAGTTTTCTGGCTTCGTAACATCCACTGAAGAAAACAGATCTTATTAGTCCCCCTTAAATTATACATCCTTGAACAAGAAAGCAGAAATGCAATGAGAAGAAATCAACTAATCCAAAGAGTAGAAAATGAACCAAATCCACAGGAAGAACTATTTAATACTTTGTATTCAAATTCAAGTTTCTATTCATTTCCACGTATGTTCTAACTGGAAAAAAAAGTTCCTTACATTTTAGGGAAAATATAAATATGTAGCAGACTAATATCATACCTGATTAATCAATTCAGTTAATGGGGTGACTATAATACTCCACATTCTCCAGAGATGCTCCTTGTTTTCCAACTGCTTTGCATTTTGATCAATAACATTTAAAACAGAATCACTGAAAGCTAGTGGTGAGGTTGGACCAGAGAGAACACAACCTACAAGTATTTCCAGATTAAGAAAAAACCTGAAGAAAAAATTTTGAACCATGAATTAACCTGTACTTTTTGCCAAAACACATGAATTACACTGCGACAAAATTCTAAAAATCACTGACAAAGAAATAAGAAGTGAATTCCAAATCTTATTTTTGGTTTTTTAAAAAATTTATGATATAGTATATTAACTCAAAAGAATCTAATTCATCACATAACCACCTTTCCAAGATAAACATAAAGAATATTTTTAGCCCTGGCCCTGTGGCTCAGTTGGTGAAAGCACTGTCCATATATGCCAAGGTTGCAGGTTCAATTCCCAATCAGGGAGCATGCAAGAATCAACCAATGAATGTATAAATAAGTGGAACAAAAAATCGATGTTTCTCTTTCTCCCTTTCCTCTCTTTAGAACCAAAACCACCACCAAAACCCAAAAACACTAACTTAAAAACAAGAATATTTTCAGTTTAAATTACCTTTCATCTTCTACACCATATCCCAAGAGATTATTGTTGAAAATTAACTGAATTAAAAACAAAGCAGGAGTTCCCTGAAGAGAGATGGGAGATTGCAGTCAATCTTCTTGTTACACTTGTTTTCTACAATCAATTAAGTGAAACATGATACTGTTGAGAAATTTAACTTTTCACATGACTTAGGGTATGACAAAAAAGATAACAAATGCATTTGAGTAAACTACCCAAGCACTTCATATTTTTACCACAGCTGTTCCATCTACACTGAGAAATGGTTAGCGATTCCAGATATAAAAAGAATGTAAACTTAAAACTTGCTGGGCCAACAATACCTACATTCTGCAGATATTAAGTACATTTCACAATTTAGTCCATTTTCACTAAAAACTTCCAAAATTTGTAACAGTGACCAGCACTATTACTATGTACAAGCAAATAGAAAACTTTCCTTCTGAAACCTTTTTATAATACCAGAAAATAGTTCCATTAACAGTGCCTTATCTAATAATTTACATTAATTTATTAGTCTATCAATTTTTTCTTTAACATGTTCAGCAAATCCAACTCTCAAAATTTTAAAATCTAAGTCTCACTATTTTAAGAAAAGGAAATCACAGAACTTTTATTTTTGGCTAATGTTAATCATATAATTATATTTAAGATACTTGCATTAAGAATGTCCATATTAGCAACCTGATATGCTGGTGAACCTAATACTTTCTGAGGAAGTCCTTTAATTGTAATTTCCATGAGGACCTAAGAAAGACAAAAGGTTTTATTATAAGTCATCCACAAAAATTAGTACTTTACATAGTAAAAATCTAGTAATATTAGCTATATTTTTAACTGTTGTTTTCATTAAATATATTATCAGCTGAAAAACTCCAAATAATGTTTATCTATTAATGTGAATACATTTATATTAGTTTAGAAAGTTTAAATAACAGAAGTATAAAAAAAACAAACAACAGAGTCCTTATTTCCAGGGAAGGTTAATACAAGTTTAGAGTTTATTTTTCTAGACCATTTGAATTTCCATACATGTAACTATACTAAGAAACATATTCTTGCCCTAGCTGGTGTGGCTCAGTGGATTGAGTCCTGGCTTGTGAACCAAAGGGTTGCTGGCTGGTTAGATTCCTAGTCAGGGCAGATGCCTGGGTTGGGGGCCAGGTCCCCAGTAGGGGGTGCTTAAGAGGCAACCACACATTGATGTTTCTCTCCCTCTCTTGCCCTTTCTCTAAAAAATACTTAAAAAAAAAGAAACATTCTTCCCACATATGGCTGTCATATTATGTTATACCATTAGTGACATACAATGAAACTGACCTTCATCTGACTGTTGTGATTTCATATCAATGTATGTAGACATGCTATTTATGCAAACATTTTCTCTTAATGGTTCTTGAGGCTATTTCTGTATTTTTATTATTAGAAAAAATTCTTCAATGAATTATGTACTCACTAATACTGGAAACATATTTATATTTTAAATATTTTGTTTATTTTTATAGAGAAGGGAAGTTAGATTGAAGAGAGGGAGAGAAACACTGATGTGAGAAACATCAATTGGTTGCTTTTCGTAAGTGTCCTGCTCAGGGACCCAACCTGCAACCCAGGTGTGGGCCCTGACAGAGAATCCAACCCACAACCTCTCACTTTGAGGAATGATGCCTAACCAACTAAGACATACCAGTCAGGGCCAAAAGCCAGCATTTCTAAGGACTGCTAACTAAAAGCTGAATCTAAGACACGCCTCTCAAATGTGAAAGAGCCTAGCAAACTGCTGTCCCAAAATGTTACTTAACCTGAACTATTTAACTACAGTGACATATATAACAAAAAGCCTTAAATTAGTAAAAATATGCTTCACATATATTCATTTGAAGCCGATACTAATGAAAATAAGAGCATTTGCAAACTCATTTATTTTGTTCCTGGCCCATAGTGCTCTGCATTTATCAACCCATTTAGTTAGAACACTGCATTCTCTTTACAGAGGTAAGAGAGTAAGTAGATAAATTGCCCAATTTTACTCAGCTAATAAATAGGCTGAGATGAAATATGTTCAGCTCCAGAACTCTTGCTCTGCTGCCATAGTAGATACTGAAATAATACATAAAGGAAAGGGAACAGACTCGGAATTTATGTAACGGTGTCATTTGCTCCAGCTACAGATTATTTTAGGAGATTCACTCTTATAAAGTGTATCTAATTAGCTTTTTCCTTCTCTACTACATAGGATAAAAGAAATGTTTAATAGAAACATCATTACATTGGTTAGTTCATTTAAAGCACAAAAGCTCTGTAACATTATTACCAGATGTATACAAAGAAATAACTAATGGAGTGTCAGTCTTGTCATAAAATTAGTGTTGATTCCAGTGTCTTCAGTTCAAGTTTCATGTCCTTCATCATTTACTTAGTGTAGCTTATCCTTTTTCTTATCACAATGAAAGATTTTTAAAGCTGCCATTTTAGCCATTTGCTTTACTAGTTTCAAATGAGTAAAAGTCAATGGAGTAGCATTTATTTATAGGGTCAAACTCCTGATTTGATTAATATTTGATGTTTTCCCAAATCCTGATCTGTGCAAGTATCTTCAAAAGAAAATTCAGTGTGGTTTTTAAATTCTGGCATATAGGTATTATACTTACCAGTGTTTTCGATATAGGAAATACTTCTGATTTCACTATGGTTTCCAAAGATTTTAATAAAAGGGTCAAAACCTCAGAACCTGGTCTCTCTTTTTTGTTACCTATCAACAAGCAAAAAGGAGGGATATGGTTCTAAGCATGCATGTATTTTTAGGGGTAAAAATATACATTTAAGAGACTGAAAACTGGTTTTTATTAAATCCACAAAGTGTTTTAAACTTCTGAAAGCTATACTTCAAAAAATTATTTAAAAATAAATTTATATAAAAGCCAAATAATTTACTGAATGCTGTAAAATTCATCTGATCAGTATTATGGCGCTTACCTGATTCAATAACTGACTTCACTAAGTTAATTAGCTCCTTCCAAATAGCACTGACAACTGCATCTGTCAAAATAAAATGTAAAGGACTATAATGGCACCCTTTTTCATCCTTAAACTAAAATAAATTGAGCAATACTTAAGAATATGATTCTCCTTGTAACACTGAACTTAGTAATCAGTTTATAAAACACTATCACCTCATTTTTACTTAGCAAGAAATGTGTTTTTTTAAAAAGGACTGTAGCATATTAACATTGGGTCATGTAACTATGGTTAATTATTTTCTTTGTTCCATCACCTGTATTTTCTGTATTGAAAATATTTAATCTCTGAAATAAGGAAAAACAAAGATCATGATATCTGAAAACCACAAGAAAAAAAATTCCCAAGCCAATTAAATAGCAAACTATTTTATGAAATTTCTTCTCATTTGATAGGCTTTTGAACATAGGAGTTTAGGTGTAACAAGCCTGGGTTTGTTTGAATCATGGCTCTACCTCTTACTATGTGACTTTGCAAAAGTTATTTACTTCTCAGAACAATAAAATATCCTCATCTGCAAAACTGACTAACACAAAAGGTTACTATGAGGATTAAACGAATCACGTATTGCTCTTACAGTGCAATCTAGCTAATAGGTGATACTATATAAATATTAATTTTTTAACAAATAATTTTAAAAACCTCTTAAATATTTACCAGAAGCATCTTTTCCAACTGCAACAAAGCTATCATGAACAGCAGTGATAAGTGTATTTGCGTATTTGGAAAAAAAAGAAGAGTTGCTGATTAACGGATGTTCAAGTGGCTCTAGAAGAAGAAAAGAAATAATTATGTTGCATCAAAAGTTTTACAAAATAAACTTCTCAATATAAAATTTTATGTGGTCTGACATGTTTGTTATTTTAAAAACTTATTTCATAAATAATTACAAAATATTTTTATTAAACAATATTTGCCCTACATGCATATCTATAATAATTTCAGTCCTACACTCCAAATTATACACAAATAATTTTTGCAAATAACACTACCTGAGTTGTAATCATTGGTAGACTCATTTTAGGCTTTTTGAAAAATACCTTAAACCTTGGTTGGTGTGGCTCAGTGGATTGAATATCATCCTGCAAACCACAAGGTTACCAGTTCAATTCCCAGTCAGGGCACATGCCTGGACTGTGGGCCAGGTCACAGTTGGGGGTGTGCGAGGGGGAACCAATCAATGTTTTTCTCCCTCTTTCTCTCTCCCCCTCTCTCTGAAAACAAAATCTTTAAAAATAAATATAAAAAACACATACTAAAAAAAAATATGAACTAAGAAAACTTCAAGCTCATTTCTAAAATCATTCCAGTACCAGTCAAATTCCCCTAGTCCTAGTGTACTGTGTTCTGAATTGTTTTAGTAACTGAAATTATTTTTAAAACAATTAAATACCTAAGCTCAGTACAAGTTTGTTTTGCTTAGCAAAACTCAAAGCTTCTGGACCCAAAAAAAAATGAAGTAACATTTCAAGTCCTAAAAGTTGAATGGAGGGGATTGTGGCCATTACACCAAAATTCGAACTCAAGTTCATCCGGGGGGTTACGGAGGCTCCATATGGGGAAGCACCTTAAAAAAAAAAAAAAAAAAGACGTTATAGAAGCTTTAAATTATCCGCCAAAATGAATATATTTTATTTATTCCTTTTAAATGAAATGCACCAATAGATGTTAAATACCGCGTTTCACTAATTAAAGTTTTCATTTAAAACCCACAATACTGTTCCAATTATATAATCTTACTAAGAACATGATTAGTGTTACACACCATTTAAATCTATATAATTCTTACTGGTATTAATCCACACCCTGAATTATTAAAATGCTGGTGGTGTTCCTTAAACTTAAATATAAAAATTTGGCTCAGAATAATTAATAGAAAATAATAATGGCAAATCATTATCTTCCAATGGTGGACACACTAAGCCACATTTCTTATATCTTGTTAAGATCTGTTGTTTTTAAAGGCAACCATAAGATTCTGGTTCTGAAACACAACAGTCTGTAATGAACTTCACATGTGCTAAAGAAGATGGATCTTTCCAACTACAACAATGCAATTATAGCAGGAAACATTTAACACATACAAAAAACAATGAAGAATATGTAATGAACTTTGTGATGGGGGGACCAAAATTATGAAGTGCTTCATTTTATGTGAATAACACTGAATAAAACCTTCAGTCAAAGCAATTCTTAAAAAGGAAGTAAAACTAGCATGTCTGTTTCTTACCTTTATGTTGAGGAGTCATAGGACTTAAGCTTGGAGAAGTAGCTACACGAGATGAATGAGGTGACGCATTAGTATCCATGCTTATTGTGCTCTGAATTAGAGGCACACAAACCTATTGGGGTAATAATAAAAAAGAGGTATTGGTAAATTGCGTAACTTTCATATTTTTAAAAAGCCTTGCATAATACAGTTAATTTCTTTATTTTTCCAGTTAATTCCTTTAAAAAGCAGTCTAAACTATTTTAGTATGTTGAATTTTATGGGCTGTTTCAATGCACAGGTTTAAAACTGAAATTTGGAAAAGTGAGCATTTTTATTAAACTGTTATTTGCTCTAAATATGTACTCTCTGTAAATTTCACTTGTAAATTCCAAAGTGTACACAAGTAATTTTTGCAAATAACATCTACCTGAGTTTTAATGCAATTGGCAGACTCACTTTAAGCTTTTTAAAAACATATGTTAAAAATGTACTGAGACAACTTCTAGGTCATTTCTAAAATTCTTTCTAGTACCAGTCAATCCAGCCAATGAATTATGCCAATGAACGTGCGGGACAACTGATACAATTAGCTTAGAAGAACCCTATAATGGTAGAATTTGGAAAAATTATGATCTCAATTACATATTACTATCAATGTCCAATTTTAATTAGTTCATCTTCTACCAAATTTAAAAAGCTTAATACATTAAAAATGTTTTAAACTTGCTAAAATTTTCATGTTCCTTTTTAATAATACGCTCCCCACTTATGTTATTTACATAGACTAGAAGGCAAGGACTACAGACCCAAAAGTATAATTTCCTTGAAAATTGAAGATAAGCATTAAAGAAATTTTAAAATGGTATCAGACCTATCCTTTTTTACTTCACTTTTAAAAATTCAGAAATGAAGGATAAGATTAATTACAAAAACAAAGAGGTATATATAAGATTAAGTCTGTGTCTAAATGTCCAGAATGATATCAAAATCTAAAGGAATTTGTAAATCATATGCATCAATACTGAAAAGCTATAATAGGATTTAAATAATTGGTTATTACTATGTAGCCTATAAAAAGGAGATACAAATAATAAGAATCAATCCAATTTTGTTATCAACCCAGTGCAGCACTTGACTTCTATTTAAAAAATACTCAGTCTACTCTCAATTACATTCTAAACCCCATGGAATTCCTTTTTTAAAATCTTCATAATGTCCCTAAAAAACTTAGAATATCCTTTGAGGGAAAGGAACTCAAGTGTGTGTTAAGAAAAAAAGATCTCTCATGTCATGGTCTACTAACACATAGCAAAAGTAACACTGAAAAATTAAAGAACACATTAATTAAAAAAAATACACAATGTTATAGTCAAATTTGTAATGTTACCTGTTCAAAATTAGCAGGAAGATGAGGTCCAAGTCTCATTAGCAAATACCACCAGACTTCTAGTTTGGTTAGTGCTAATGCTTCTGTTCTCACGTGGATGGAACTCAAAGGCTGCATTAACAACTTCAGTCTTTTTGCACTACATAGTATTTCTTAAAGAGAATGAAATAAGTACCCAGTTAAAAAGAAGAAAACATTAAGAGCTAAAGAGCAGATTTTAAGAATGAGTATGCAATAGTCTCCTTTTACCACAGAAAGAGAATAAATTTAAAAATAATTTAATCAAGAGCGAGCCCTTCCTGTTTCACCCCAAAATCTCCCGACAAACTCCAATTAGCCTAGAAAACAACACTTAAGAAGGCAGCAATAAAAAATAAGTACTATTTATTATATACTGTGTGCAAGGGATGATTTTGCAATTAAGAGACATTTGGCAATGTTCACAATATTTTTGATTGTTACAACTTGAGAGGCAAGGGTATGGAGAATGCTACTGGCATCTAGTGAGTGGGCTGCATCCTGGGATGCTATTAAAAACAGGAAGCAGTCCTCCACAACAAACAGTCTAGCCCAACATGCCAAACATTGAGAAACTGTCCAAGCTGCTTTAATATTTTCATTATCCTTACTTAACAGGTAAAAAATAAAGGCATATTTTTTACATTCTGTCAAAAATGGTTATTTTTAAACTTTACTAGTAATTTATTTCACCAAGCACTGTACCTGTTGTTGCCATTAGATTTTGGAAATCTAAATAGATTTATTTACATTCAGATGTACTCTACATTAACAATAATCAGACTGAAATTCAGAATAAAAATTAAATCCAATTCTTTAAACATTATTTTTATCAGAAATACGTAGTATGTGATATGTGAGTGTAACTAGGAGTATATAAAAAAAGACAGTCTGTGTTTAGGTAACTTATTAAAAAGACAAGTTAGAAATAAGTATAAAGCCACAATAAGTGTAAAACAATGTTTTCTTAAAACTCTTGTGCCATTTAGCTTTTAGTTAACCTTTCCATTAAAAAGTAAAGTCAGACCACTGTGAGAACAAATGTTCTAATTCTTTAACTAATTCTGAGAGGAGCTCCACAGTAAAATCCTCACAGCATGACTTCAGTTCCCGTACAATAATCCATTCATTCTCTTTTAGTTACAAGGCTTGCTTTCACTCGTGACAGCGATGGGTGCCCAATTTTGACTTATCTAGTCTCCTGTTTAGCCATTCTACTCAGTGAGGCTTAAGTGGCAGTGTATGCAGAATTTCTAGAATGCACATTATACAGAGCTGACTCAGCTAAGTTCATTTCAGCTCTCTGTCTTCCCTCCTTCCTATGGAGTGCGACTAAGGCACACTAAAGATGACAGAATAGAAAGTCAGGCATCTGATTCCTTAATGACTTCCTGGATCCATAATACCAGTCACAAACTTTCTAGCTCTGGACTTACATTATCTTCTTTAAGCCCCTCCTATTTTATGCTGTAACACTCAACACATTTAGTTCTAAACATTATCTCATGCTGACAGTTCATAAACAACAACAAAAAAAAGGTGATATTTCCAATTAAAACTGGAGCCTGGCAATGTGCTTTTACCAATATTTTCAATAAAAGCAATTATGGTTAATGCAAATAATCACCTTATAAAACACGTTAAAAGAAAAACAAAAAGGTTAATGGTCTTTGGCAGAAAAAAATTATAGAATTAAGTCAACATTACTTAGCAGACCTGGTAAATATACAGCATCAATTATACCTAAGACTAAATTATCCAGTTAAGTCGGTACTAATACTGACTCACTTCTGGGTTAAATATTCTTTCTTATATACATATCAAACACCTTCACTAATAGGAAGTTAAGGTCAAGGTAAATCAAAAGGAATCACATATATATTAATGTAAACCTACTACTAACTCCATCACTCACTGATATGTTTGTTACATAAAAATCACAATTGTTTCCTTTTTGGCCATGTGACCTTTGGTAAATTACTTAATCTCTCCAAAATGGTAACAATATTTACTATTTCAGGTCCATTGTGATGATTAAAAGAGAAATAGGCAAAGTAGTCAACTAAACTGTTGGCATGTATTATGAAAGCCACAATGGTATTTGTCACTTTGTTCATTTTTTGACCAAAAATATTCAAAGTTTTAAAATATTACTTACCTGGATTTAATGCAAAATTATCTATTAAACTCTTCCAAGCAATAAAAGCTATTTTTTTAATTATGGGTGCTCCACTACGAAATCCCAGTTCTTCCAGCTGTAATAGGGAATTAATGAAACTCCCGCTTCGATGCAAGGTCTAAAAAGGAAAAATCATTCAAAAGTTATTTACCTGATGGAAACAATACATAAGGCACTAGTATCATTCTTCAATCAGTTTCAACTATGTAAAAGTCTTAGGAATTTAAAGTTTAAATAGAACCAAATTCTGTATGTACATTCAAAATTCAAGATCACAGAATACAAAGCTCCATGAAGTATGTACCATGTAACACAAAGCATTTCTAAAATATTAGAGAAAATCAGGAAGTACCAATTTTACCAACATAATACCAAAAAGGGAGTATATCTATATGAAAAAATAAGAAATGTTAAACCCTGAAACTAATAAGAACAAACTTTTCAAATAGAGTAAAATAGGCAAGAAAAATGGTTAAGGGAAAAATGGATAAAGGACATGTTAACATGTACCCTAAGAGAAAATACATAAAAAGATAAAACACTGCCCTGGCCACCATGGTTCAGTTGGGCATCATCCCACAAACCAAAGGGTGAGAGATCTGATCCTTCAGTCAGGGCACATGCCTAGGCTGCAGGTTCGGTCCCTGGATGGGGCACCTACGAAAAGCAACCAATCGATGTTTCTCTCACATCCATGTTTCTCTCCCTGTCTTTCTCCCTCCCTTTCCTAAAATCAATTAAGTATGTCCTTGGATGAGGATTTAAAAAAAAGATAAAATATGAACAGTCAAAAGTGCCTATAAACTACATATACTCAGAACAGATTATCAATAATAACAGAAAAAAACCTGGCTTAGACAATCACAAGGAATTCACAAGAAAGCCCCTAGAGCTGATGAAATTAGTTCAACAATGTCTCAAGAGTACAAGGTTAACACCTGAAAGTCAGTTGTAGTTCTACATATCAGCAACAATCTGAAGAGGAAGTTAGGAAAGCGATTCGGTCTATAATGGCACCTAAAAGAATTAAATACTTAATAAATCTAATCAAGATAAAGACTTGTACACTAAAAGCTACAAAGCATTGTTGAAAGAAATTTAGACTTAAATATGTAGAAAACCATCCCACGCTCAAAGGTAGGAAGATCTACTATCATTAAAATATCAATACTACTCAAAGAAATGTAGATTCAACTCAATCTCTATCAAAATTCCAACAGCCTTTTACGGGGAGGTACGAAGGGCACAAAGCAAACCAATCCTTAAATTCAATATGGAATTGCAAAGAACCACAAATAGCCAAAACAATTTTGAAAAACAAAGTTGGAGGGCTGGCTAGTGTGGCTCAGTGGATTGAGCCTAGCCAGCGAACCAAGAGGCCGCCAGTTTGATTCCCAGTCACGGCACATGCCTGGGTTGCAGGCCAGGTCCCCAATGGGGGGGCATGTGAGGGGCAACCAATCAATGTTTCTCTCACATATCAATGTTTCTCTCCCTCTTACTCCCTGCCTTCACCTCTAAAAGTAAAAAGAAAAAAAAAAGTTGGAGAACTCACACTTGACTTCTAAACTTACTATAAAACTATAGTAATTAAAACATGGTAGTGCCCTAGCTGTTAGCTCAGTTGGTTAGAACAATGTCCTAATACACCTAGGTTACAAGTTTGATCCCTGGTCAGGGCCATTCAAGAAGCAACCAATAAATGTATAAATGAGCAAAACAATAAATGGATGCCCCTCTCTCTCTTAAATCAATTAAAAAAAAAGGTAGTGGCACAAGAACAAACAGAGTAATGGAACAGAAGCCCCCAAATAAACCCTTCCATATACTGTCAATTGGTTTCACAAGTATGCCTAGACCTTCTGGTAAGAAAAAGTTTATTCAACAAATAGTGCTGGGAAAATTCAATATCCACATGAAAACTGAAGCTGGACCCTTGTTTTATATACAAAAATTCAAAATGGATCAAAGATCAAAATATACAAACTAAAACTATAAAGCTCATAGAAGAAAACACAGGGGAAAAGATTAATGCACTGGATTTGGCAACAACTTCATGGATATAACACAAAAAGCACAAGTAACAGCTATTTATTATCTAGATTACATGCATTTCATCACATTGACCTTTTATGCATCAAAGGATCCTATCAAGAAAGCAAAGCCAAACTACTGAATGGGAATATTTGCAAATCATGTATCTGATAAAAGTTTAATATCCAGAAAATAGAACTACAACTTAACATAAACGAAATCACCAATTTAAAAGTGGGCAAAGGCTGGGCATGTAAAGTACAGCATAGGGAATATAGTTGATCACCCTGTAATAAAGATGTATGGTCCAGGTGCCAGGTCGCAAGGGTGGGGACAACACGGGACAGGATCACTTTATAAAGTATATGGTTGTCTTAACAATTATGTTGTACACCTGGAACTAATACAAAATACTGAATGTCAAACCGTAATTGAAAAATAAAATTTAAAAAATAAATACTACTTTCACAGGAAAATCTATATAAATTAAAAATTTAAAAATAATATAAATAAAAAATAAGAATGGACAAACGCTTTCCTGTCATCTGAGTTGTGTGGAGTTGGCTCTTGGATCTCTGAGATTCAAAAACTTAAGGCTTCTTTGCCAAGCAAGTGGGCTGTCCTCACCATGCCACAAAATGAACATACTGAGCTACCACCATAAACGCTACAGATATTACTCAGATTACCATGAGAAAAAGAGAAAGAAAAATTGAGTTTCATCAATGTTCCAAGAGATCATACATGACTGGTATGAAGGCTAAGCTCTACTATAAATGGCATTATGTTAAGAAAATAAGACTATTAAGATGCATGAAAAGAGAAACACCAAACAAAAGAATGATAAAAAGACCACAGGAAACAGTACCTCCCCTGTCCTGCTGGACACAGCGGGACAGTCCCAAGCTTATTTCGAGTACTTTCAAAATAAAAGTGAAAAGAGAAAGAAAGACCATCTGCCCAAGGTTCAAACCCATGGAGAAACAGAAATATTAAGTTACTGGAACAGGAAAGAGAAAGGAAAATGTATGAAGGAGGCTGGCTATTAAATTCTGCTGTCTGCTACTGAAAATGGCTATATCTGAAAACCATCTAAATATAAAAGATTCCTTAAGCCAATGGACTTATAATTTCAGTAAGACCCACATCATATGGAAGTCATAAGCGAAAGTCATCTTTTGCTTGTCAATACATAGTGTGCAGAGAAATCCCTCATCCCCGCTATATATACAAGTTAGGGATTACTACCACAACTGAAGTGAAATGTGGGCAATTTGGGCCTTGTGACATGAGGCAGTTATTCAGGGGAAATATGCCCCAAATAATCCTGAAAACGATGGACACATAAATCAATTACACTGACTTGACAGCTGTTTCACACAAGAAACTCCTCATAATTATTGAAGACTACAAACAAGTCCGAAAAATCACCATTACTATGTTTCTGAATTGTACCCAAAAGTCTTGTACGTCCACAATTATCGAGAGAACTATTATCATATTGTAAGACATTAAAATGGTCCAGTTAAAAAGGAAAAAAGCTATTATCCAAAAGTGGAAAAATAAGTTTTGACAAGGATGTGGAGAAATTTGAACCCTTGTACATTATTGGTAGGAGTGTACAAGGGTGCGGCCACTGAGGAGTTTGGAGGTTTCTCTAACTAGTTCAACATAGAATTATCGTTATGACCCAGCATCCACTCCTATACACATATCCGAAAGAACCGTAAACAGAGAATCCAACAGATACCTGCACACCAACTTTCATAATCACCAAAAGGTGAAAAGAGGCCTATATCCATCAACAAATTAGTGTATAAACAAAATGAAGTACATACACACACATAATTATTCTGCCTTAAAAATGAATGAAATTTTAATGTACTATATGGCTGGACCTTGAAAAAATGATGATTAGCAAAATAACACAGAAGGGCAAATACTATAGAATTGCACTTTTATCAAGTACCTAGAATTGGCAAAACCATACAGACAGAAAGTAGAAGTTACCAGGGGATGGTACAGGAAATGCACAGGGAATAATTAACATAGTAGTCTTTGTTGGGGATAATGAAAAAGTTTTGGGTATAAATAGCAGTGATATTACACAACTTGTGAATGTATCTAATACCACTCAACTGTACACTTAGGATGGTCTTAAGTATTATATTGATCACAATAAAGAAAAACATATACCCTGTTCTCAAGGAAACCTGGCTCATAGACAGAGCATATAGTTAATTCTCATTATTCAAGATAGCTATGCTTTAAGTCATTTCGAATACTCTGTTAAGGAATACTGAGCCTAGGAAAAGTGCAGTTAGGTTCCTGAGAGCCTCTGGTCACCTTTGTTTCAACCAATCAGTACACAACCCTGTTTTATGTTTATTTTTTAAGAGACACCTTACTTAATATACAATCATACAATGCTTAAAAGGGGTATGTTCTAAGAAATACATCAGGCCATTTTGTCATTGTGTGAACATTACAGAGCGCACTCACAGAAACCTAGATGGTACAATGACTATACACTTAGGCTATATGGTACAGTCAATTTCTTGACTACAGACCTGTACACAGCATGCTACTGCATAAAACATGAAGTTAAATCAAGCACAAGAGAAAATGATGCAATCAAGAGATGAGGTAAGCCCAAGATGTATGAGGCTGCTGTCAGGGTAATATGGCATACTATTTTACAGCAACCTTTTCTTAAACAAGTAGAAAGGATACATTCTAAAATGATGATTAGTATAATACTTACACCAGTGATCATCATTTATTATTATCATCAAATATTATGTACCATACATAGTTTTATGTGATATACTTTTATGTGACTGGCAGAGCAGGTTTGTTGATACCAATATCACCACAAACACGTGACTGTGATCAGGCAATAGGAATTCTCAGCTCCAGTATAATTTTATGGGACTACTATCATATATGCAGTCCACTGTCAATCCTGTTAATGCAGAGTGCATCACTGTTTCACTAACACTGAACTCCTGGCCAGGAGCATTGTAACTGATGCCTGAATAAAGCTTATCTAACACCCCTATTTTCTCCATAAGGCACAGCCGTCTTCCTGTACTTAGGAACCACAGACAGCTCTTCAACACTACACTTGGGGGCCATTAAAAGATGCAATCATCACCTTGGCTGAGTGGCTCAGTTGGTTAAAGTGTTCTGCCATACATCATAAGGTCTTGGGTTCAATTCCCAGTCAGGGCACATACCTAGGCTGCAGGTTTAATCCCTAGTCGAGGCATATGCAAGAGGCAACAGATCCAATGTTTCTCTCTCGCTCTTCCTCCACTCTACCTCCCTTCTCCTACTCTCTCCCCCTTTCTCTAAAATCAATAAATAAGCATGTCCTCAGGTGAGGACCAAAAAATTCCATGATCAGGAAAAAGGTCAAAATGCAAAAAATGTGGCATTAAATGGATTATGAAAAGGGACATTTAAAGGATATATAGAGAGCTCAAACAAAAAGGCAAAGCATAACCTTTCCTATTCAAGGTCAGCTGGGAACAAATGCACTGGGGAACTCAAATTTTTTTGCCATTCTGCATGTCTGTTATACACACTGGTAATAACTTTAGGAAATGATATAGCATAGTACTGATGTTGGGTTTATAAATAAATTTTAGTTGGCCGATGTATTTGCATATATGGTATGATAATGAGGATTGACTCTACCATGTAAATAAAGAAATGAAAGTGACTGGCATGTAAAACTGTGCACTGTTCTTTAAACACAGACTTACCTTCCCAAGAAGTTTGACAAACAAAGGCCATAATTTTAAAACATAAGTCTCATTTTTACTCATAAATAACTTTTGGAGTTCTGAAAGTAATTTCTGCAAACAAAAGAAAAAATATTTACCAAAAGGATTCTTGGAAAAGAAAAAAATACGCAGTATCAAATTGGCTGATTGTCTCAGCTAAATAACTTTACCCAGTTTTATCAGGAAAACTTTCATACACATAGCAAAGCTGAGAGTTTTACAATAACCATACAAATATAAATAACCATTAACATTTTACTATGTTTGTCTTATCAATCTGGCCATTCTCGCTTCCATTAATCCAGTTTAATTTTTGTCTACCAATATTCTTTCCCCTAAAAACTTCAGCATGCGTATCATTAATAAAAGTTCAAATGACAATGTTTCAACTTCTTACTCTAACTTTAAAAATACATCAACAGCTTCATGGATAATGGACATCTGAGAAAATTTTAGTTCAAATACATAAAGAATTTTGTATTTGCTCTTAAAAATCAACTTATTAGAATAAAAAATTGCAAAGACAAGTGATACGTTGAGACTCCAAACATTACTATGAAGCAACTTTTAAAAGTGAACAAACAACACCCCAGTATTTAGAATGTGGAAGGCTCCCTCACTGTCTGGATTAATGCAGAACATCTAACCAATAGTTTCTCCACTCCTACTCAATTCCCTGTAGTCTATTCTCAACGCAGGCAAAGGGATCCCTTTAAACCCAAGTCAGTACATACACCATTCCTAGATCAAAAATCTTCAAACACGGTTTTCAGTAGAACCCAGAGTCTCATAACGACCCCCAAAGTCCTGTGTGATTTGGCCCTGTGTATCTAAAATCATCTCCTACTCCTCACTCTTATGAACTCTGCTATCATACTGCCTAGTGTTCACTGAACACAACCAACAGAGCAGGGCCTTTTGCTCTCATGGTTCCTCCCAAGAGCTAACTCTTGTATCACCTTGAAATCACTGTTCAAATATCCCATTATTTTTCTACCCTGCCCACCTCACCTTTCCTCTCCAATGACACTCCCTTCACCCCTGCTATTCTCCATTAACATTCTTTACTTAGTTCACTATATACTTTATTATCTCTATCACTAGAAAAATAAGCTTCCCAAGTTCCTTTTGTTCACTGGTACATTCGGTGCCTAAAACACTCACTATATAATAGGTGCTCAATAAATATTTGTTTCAAGAAAAAGGACTGAAAAACCTAATGCCTGAGGGAAATAACTTTAGAAAATGATACACAGTAGATGTATTTATGTGTATTAAATTTGGGATTATGCTAAAACAACCCAAATAGCACTGAATTAGTTAATATTCTCCCTTTTCCCAAAATGCAATCTCTTCTAATCAACATTCACTGGGGATGGAGTAAAATGCCTGGATCACAGTAATACTGAATAGACAGCTCCCCTCATTGCAATGCAGGATCAGTACGCCTACACTAACTTAAGCAATTCTTTGTTTTAATTCAAAGAGGAATTTCCTAGATCATAGTACAATTATACCAATGTAAGCCCTAAGCTTGGTGCAGAACCTTACAATGCAGTATTCAAAAAATCCTTACACAGAATAATACTTACAGTAGTCATAAGCTGCTCTGTGATGGATGCTATTTCTTGTTGTTTCTGAAGCAACAATGGCATTCCCATCTCTAAGGCAGTCGCTCCGCGCAAATGTACCTTTTGGGCTGAATGAACAACTAAAGGTATGACCAGTTTTGCCCACCTGACTGACTCTTCTCCCATTTGAACTGGGGCTTGTTCAATTAGCCTATAATACAGAAATCAACAATAATTTAGTTTGACCTCACCATTTATGCCTTAACTACCAGAAAAATAAGCAACACACAGAATAATAGTATAGTCTGTTAGTTTTAGATTATGTACATATATGCACACACACAAAAAGGTCTAATTTTTACTTGCCAATTTTTAGATTTCAGTATTATTCTTATAAATTTTAAAAATAAGAACATATTTTTTCTTTAAAAAATTTTAAACACTAATTATTTTTATGTAATTCAACTCAACATTCTTATAGGACAGGCAGAGAACTGTGATATGTGAGCATCGATCAGGGCATCAGAACACTTCAGTGGTTAGAGCAAATAGCTCAATTATTAAAAAAACAAACTTTAAAACGGAGATAAGACAAAGCTTATCAACAAAGTCTGTGCTGATAACATGTCCATTACAAAGAGAAGAGCAGGGACAGGTAGGAAGAAAGCAGGGTATTTTCTTGTTCTCCCATCTCCTGCTAGGCACTGTTAATGACATTCTAAATACCCTCTATACCTCGCTTGGGAGTCTACATTATGTTTTAAACTCTTGCAAAAGCTTTAACAGAAATAATTTTTAAACCCAAAATTATGTTATTAGCAATGGCAGCCCAACCAAGACTTTATTTTTAAGACTATCTCAGTAAAAACAAAGAAATCTACTGAAGCACATCTACTTCCTTCTTCTTTCTGTTACCTTTTTTTCTTGAAACTTTTAGTCTAGAGGCCATTGCCTTCTTTTAATGTCTAACTCAAATTCAAGTCCCTTTAAGTAAATTCTAAGTTTCCTGAAACTATTCTTCCAATTTGCAGAGCATCCAAATTCATACCTTATGATGACATTTAATGCTTCATAATCAACAACTGCAGAATGCATCTCTCCTCTATTAAATACTACTTCTAATGAATCGATTATACTGGATACCTAAAAGATAGAGCAAAATAAATACAAATGAAGTTAAGTGTGAATTTTTAAAATGGCATATAGTTAAGAAGACATATAAAAACTATACTCACTACTTTGCCAACAACTTCGGTGGGAAACGTCTGCTTGGATATCACCCAAAGTGCCCTAGTACATACATTTTTGTCTGAACTCATAACAAAATCATTCAATTTTGAAAGCAGTTCTTGAATATTTTTCTCTGAAAAAACAAGCAGTTTTAATTATGTGGAATAGTTTTCATCCTTTAAAATGTCAAATACAAAAAGAGAAAAATATATTCTTTGGTTAATAAATTAAATCCATATCCAAAGAGAAGGACCAGAGAAACAATACTGATATCAAACTTTCCTTCCCAAAACACAAAAATAAGTAAGATGGGAGGGCATATGTAGAGAAAACAGTAGATTCTAAATCAGACTAATTTTTGCAATTAAAATAACTTTATAGGTGTCACTAGTAGATGTGAACATACAAGATAATTTTTGACAAGATGTTAGTAACTGTACATCTGTGCTCCAAAATGAACAATCCCTACTTTGCTTTGCTAATGTTTCTACACGGTGTGGGCCAAAATTAGGTTTACAGTTATGAGCATGTGAAAAGTTTATTATTTATTACTATATTATTTTTCTTACAAACTGTAAACCTACTTTTGCCCTGTCCTGTATATAAAATAGGGCAGAAACTTTTCCTCAGAAAACAGATGATAACAACTTTCTAATGTCTTCCTTCCCTATTCCTGATTTCCCTTCTCTGAAGATCATCTCCTACATTTCCTTTACCATGGGAAACTACTAACTTTAGAGCAACGATTGAGATTAGTTGAAAACTTAGAAAGCATCAGGTCAATCTTATGTTTCATTACCACTTTTAGTTCTAAATCATCCCACTTACCACTATGTAAAAACTTTTTAATTAAGCATATCCTTTACTGTATATGCTTTTAGAAAATAAATGACTATCTAAATTAACAACTCCCGCCCTGGCTGGTATGGTTCAGTGGGTTCAGAGTAATAATACAAACCAAAAGGGTGCCAGTTTGATTCCTGGTCAGGGCACATGCCTGGGTTGGGGGGTGTACGAGAGGCAACCAATGGATGTTTCTCTCACATATCAGTGTTTCTCTCACTCTTTCCCCCTCTCTCTAGAAATAATAAAGTTTTACTTTTTTAAAGTTTTTTTTTAAGATTTTATTTATTTTTAGAGAGAGGGGAAGGGAGGGAGAAAGAGAGAGAGAAGCATCAGTGTGGTTGTCTCTCGCATGCCCCATACCTGTGACCTGGCCCACAGCCCCGGCATGTGCCCAGACTGGGAATAGAACCTTTGGTTTGCGGGCTACCCTCTGGTTTGCAGGCTGATGCTCAATCTACTAAGCTATACCAGCCAGGTCAGGAGTTAATAATTTAGATGGTCATTTATTTCAGCTAGGACAAAATAAATAAAAGTTTAAAAAAAATGTTTTCTTTATTAACTTCTTACATTATTAACTTCCAAAGCAGATAACTGTTTTAGAAAGGAGAATGTTCAGTTCCCATAGCAAGTATTATAAATAGGCTTATTTTCTTTTAGAGCAAATTTTACCATTATCAAAAGGCTATGTCTAAGAAAAAGAAACTTTCCAATGATAATCTAAACATTTCTCAAAAGCAAAGTCTAAACTATGTTATATATCTAACAGAGATAACAGTATTTGTAATAATGTCAAAAGCATATACTTATAAACTTCAAAATATTGTCATAATAAATTTAACTACCTGATAGTCCTGAGGTAATTTTGGGATTATATAAGCAAAATCCCAAGGCCTGTAGAGCAGCACAACTAAGCTCTGAATTTTGACTGGAAATGTGAGCCTACAAAAACAAACAAATAAAAAAAAACACAAAATACTTGTTACAAGTGAGTACAACTGTGAATCAATGTTTAGAGAGCAAAATTTGACTGAAAAGCAAAATCACATTTTAATACAATCAACAAATCTTTGAAAGTAGATGAAATAAGATCCAGAGGCCATGTATACAGCATAGCAAAGATAAAGGTAAAGTAGTTAAGATCAACTAAAAAAGAACATTTTTCTTAAAAGATAAAGAACATCTCTGCACACCTGAAAGTGAAGAAAGAAATGCTAAAGCCACTGGACGAGAAATAAATAGGAGCAAGGCCCTTCTACAAAGGGAAAGCAAAAGACTCAAACACAAAAGCTGAAATCCTAGCATTAAAGAGGAGCTGCACCTCTAAGAGGAGGGAGGGGTTGAAGTGTAGCACTTACTGCTAGGAGTTTTAAACATTTCAATCTTAAAAAAAAAATCCCTACACTTTAAAGTCAGAATTTGAATCCATATCCACCTGGAATTCAAAGCCCAACCCATATTATGTATGTAAAAGCTATGAAATCCCAAACTTGTCAAATATATTCTCCAACCCTATTAATTGAAACCCTGTCTTTCTTGGTACTTTCCTATTCCAAAGTGATTTATGTTCAAATCCCCCCATTTCTTTGAATCAGGTATCCTAGGAGTCTTCTGCTATTTGTTACTCTTGAGCAGGAAGAATAAATGTTAGTAGTAAATATATCAACAGGCACTTCCCTGGGATATCCATTTATAATTAATCAAACAAAATGACACAAAAACCAAAGCCTTGGGCATAAGGGATATTAAAGACATCTATTCAGTCAACTACAAATACACAAAGGCTAATACACCTAAGACTTTGAGAGCTACTTCTACATCTCCTGGATAATAGTTGGCATGTGTCTGCAATAAACTTTTATTAAACACATATTGACTGAAAGGGTTTCTTAGAAGTGGTATGTCTCATCTTCAAGAATGTTGTCGGTTCATGAAAATACTAGCAGAATTCTAAATAGCACATTTCACTCAGTATGATTCCTGTTCTGAAGGAACTCAAATATATTTTAGTGCTTAGTAATTCACACACAAACCTGTTGATTGTAATCACTCAGGTACTTCTACAGAGAGTTAAGTTTTAGAGGAGTCAGAAGTCATATTTTTTTTCTGCAAGGGGGAAGGCGTTGGTACCTCTAACCTCTGCATTGTTAAAGTCAACTGTTAATTGTTCATCAGGCATTTTAGTTATAAAACCTATCTACAAACATTGCACTTTTACTCAAAACGCATGCAATTCAGTTCCTGACCCTCTACGCTGTCAAATACCAAATACATGAAGAGGCATGTTTTCATACCAAATACATTGTCTCATGCCACTTAACAGCGATATGTTGTGAAATGCAACATATGCACCATTAGACAACTCTGTCATTGTGCGAACAACATAGAGTATACTTACACAAACCTAGATGGTGTAGCCTAATACATGCCTAGGCTATGTGGTACAGCCTATTGTGCTCCTAGGCTTAAAAGCCTCTACAGTATGTTACCATATGAAACCTGAGATTAAATCAAGCACAAAAGAAGATGATGCAATCAAGAGACGTGGTTAACTACAAGATCTATAAGGCTGCTGCCAGGATAAGTTTTATACCAAACTTTTTTTATTAAGTAGAAAAAGTATGCCCCAAAATAATGATAAAAAGTATAGTAAATACATATACCAGTAACATAGTCATTTATTATCAAGTAGTATGTACTGTGCATAATTGTATGTACTATTCTTTCCTACAACAGGCAGCACAGATTTGTTTATAACACGAGAATAACGCATTGAGCTGTTACGCTGAGGCCTACAATGTCACTAGGCAATCTGAAGCAATAGGAATTCTTCAGTTCCATTATAATCTTATGGAACCACTGCTGTATATCCTTTTGGTGTAAGCTGTTGACCAAAATATCATTATGCAGAGCATGATTATACTGCTGGAATGTGGTACGTGACAATGAAGGAAAATGGGTTAATAAATAATATTACTACACTAATACTAGTAATGTATTGAACTAATTACTCCACAATAAAAGTTAAGTTCTTGCTTACATGAACAGCACCAATGACTATATTGGAACGTTCAAAAGGTAGGCGATAGATACCTCAAATGCCTCAACGTTCAGCCAGAAATCATGCTAAAATACACCATGAATATCTTGATAGGATATTTCTATTTAAAAACACAAAAACAGGATAAAATTAAGAACTCAAAGGAACTTTGGAGATTGAGTTCAACCTCTTAATTCTAAAGACAAGAAAATTAAAAGTTAAAGTGTTAGGAAGGTCACAAAACCAGTGTATTCAAATGAGGACAAGGACATAGGCCCTCAGTTTGTGGTTAAACTATACCACCTTCCTATAATCAAGCAATAATGATAACCTTAATAATTGTGTTTAATCAGGCAAGAGTAGCAAAAATTAAGGATGTGAGAAGATAAAAAATTGACCAAAAACAAAATGACAGAATCATTTATGAGTACATTCCTACAAAACAGAGGTTAAGACAGATAAAATAATCTGATCACTGCTTTTAAGAGCAAAGGTTTTTGGATTCAAATGGCCTTGGGCAACTTTAGGCAAATTAAACCAATTTCTTCCGCAAAGTAGGGATTAAAGAGTAACCTCACTGGGACAGGAGTTAGATTACATTAGAGAAAACTGTAAGGTAATTAGGTACTTGATACACTGTAAATCTCAAGTAGTGCTATAATCTGCTTTTATTTAAATTCAAAGTTTTTATGAGTAAATTTGCAAAACTTTTCTCCCACAAATAAAAAGCTATTTAATAAACAACAGACACATACCTGTAAAACTTCGTATAGCCGAGGAAGTTTGTTCTCAATTTCTATAACGACTTCTTTTCCATCTTCTCCAGTAATACGACTTAAAAGCAGAAATAACACAAGTTTATGCTAATAGTAGGCATAAAAAAAGTATAACCACTCCCTAAAATACCTGTATAATCTTTTCAAAGTTTGTTAGAATTCTAGCAAATTAACTTGACCTACTGCTTAAGCTACTTAAGGACGGAATGCACTATACATCTGAAGCGCAAAAAAAAAAAAAAAATCCTCAGATTTACTTTTGCATCGACAATAAACAAGTTTGGACAGAGAAACCTATCCCCACTTACAAACTTACTAAATCTTTATCGTTCTGTACCTTTTTTTTATCCTCTCCACGCAATTTCCCAGTCACTACAGAAAACTCAATGTTTTGCAGGGGCAAAATATTATTAAGCGTTTGCAATTAAAATAAAACTCGGGTTACTGCTCTCGATTAAAAAACCAATTCTGGGTTGCCACACTGTCCCAATACATAAGCGACTTACACTGAAAACCACTCCTCCAGCCTGCCCACTTCCAACCAAACTTTTTTTAATTCTTCGATTGCAAGACACCGGAGCGGGCTTCCTCATTCCGAACGCACACCTCCGGCACTGCGGCAGCAGCCGGGAACGCCGCCCAGCAAGCACACACTCCCACCCTCCGCGTTCGCCCGCGAGCCCGCCGTCCTCACAGCTGCCAGACTTCTAGAGTACACGAACCCGTTTGGCCTGCCCCCCGCAACGATGTTCTCCTCCCCAGGAACCACCCGAACGCCCCTCCCCACTCCCAAAGAGCTTCACCTTGTCAGAGTAAGGTAAGCGTCGGTCTGCTCTCCATAGGAGGCAGAGTGATCTTCCAAAGTCTCCAAGAGCGGCGCGAGGAGACTCTCATCCGAGGCCGTCATTTTGGCCATCCTGAAGCACCGACCGGAAAAAAGAGAAAATCCAGTGACTGATGGAAGCAGCCCCGCGCCGGCCCAGCGTGGTTTCGGGCCCCAGACCCCCGCGCTGGCTCTGGGTCTCACAGTCCCACCGACCACGTCCATACCCCTGGCACCGGGCGCGCTGACCCTAGCCCCTAACCTCCTCCTGCGCCTTGCAACCCGCATCCAGGCCCACGGCGCTCGGGCCCAGGCCCTCTCCCGCCACCACTTTCCCGGGCAGCTTTCAACAGGGGGAGGAGACCGGCGTGGGGCGGGAGAAGCTGTGTATCAGAGGCGTCACACCGCGAGGGGGCGGAGGTGGCGCCCGACTGAGGATTCAGCGCGGCCTAGCACGGTGACCCCTATATTTACCCCCACGTATGAAAATCAGAACTGCGTCCTCTCCGCCGCTGTCCTGCACCTCCCGGACGCGGCCAAGCCTCGACTTTCCCGTCTGGGACTGTTTACTCACGCGTGCAGCCCGCACCTTCCTAGACTAAGATGGCGGGAGGGGCGGGCCCAGGAGCGCGCGAGAGTCGGCAGGCCTGGCGGGAGAAGGTCGAACAGACCCAACTGGCAGCGGCGCGCCGAAGTCATCGATCGCTACCTTACCCGCCTGCTGCCCCACCCCGCTGTTTGGGTCACACCTTGCGGGGCGGGAGGTATTTCGGCCTGAATTTAATCAGAGAGGGACTTGAAATTCAAAATGTTAGTGAATCTCCCTAATTCACCAGACTAAATTTAACGGACCTTCCGACTGTTTTCAAACTCCGATTTAATGCTTGTTGAAGTATTAGCAACAAATCATTTAGCAAGAGGAGCTCATTGTACTGCGATGTTTACGACTAAGACAGACCTGCGTCTAGATTGGTGTAGATTCCAGTCCTCGTTCAGTGTGACCTTAGCAAGTTCATCAAACTTTCCATGGCTCAATTTCCGCCTCCGTAAAATAGGGGTGGTAATAGTACCTACTTCAAGTAAAAAAGAAAACTAGGTGAGAGGCCAAGGTTCTCGAGTTTTAGTTGTACATAACAATGGCCTGAAGATATTCCTTGACTAACCTGCTGATTTCTGAGCCCCGCCCTTAGACATTGTGATTCAGTAGATCAAGGCGGCTCCCGAGGATCTGCATCCTATTAAGCCCCAGGTGTGCAAGGGTGGGGTCTTCGCCGGGAATTTACAGGGGAGAAATGAAGTAAACTTTTAATGAAAGTCAGTTCTCACCATTAACATGTCGCTCCCCTTTTCATTGCCTTCTGAGCACACTCCACAGCACACAGGATGGTGGTCACTTTAAAACAGGCACCTTAAGGCCCCCGCAGCCTTGCACTCTGGCCTCCCGGTTCCAGGCGTGGGGCTTACCCCGAGGCAGTACAACTATCAGTGCCGTAGTTCTGGGCTGTGTTTTGTTCTCTGCGTTATCTGCACCTAGCAAAGGGTCTGCCACACCAAGCACTGGATACAGAACGTGTTTCTTCAACGAAAAAAATGAAGGGAGGCGGAAGGAGCCAAGCTGTGAACGTTCCCTGGGCGCTGCTGAAGCAGCACTTACGGTGTGTTTGGAATGAGGAAGCCTGCACATGGTCAACCTTATTTCCTGCCTTACCTCGACTGCAGCTAGGTTCTGAACAGTCTGTCAGAATCTCTAACTTTCCTGTGTCTTGGAAGGTCTATGTTGTTCCCTTGTTTGTTTAGAACAGATACTCAGTTTTGCAAGTGAGAAACAGAGTCAAATAAATTCACAGCTTGTAACGAAATCCTTCCCTCTACTGTCCCCCCCCATGGAGAATAAATGCCTCCACCTCCACCTCCACCTGAGGTAGCTCTCGGTACAAAGATCCGTAAAAACAAGTATCTCGTTAATTTACTATTGTTTGGCTACATACCTCTGCTGTGCCTGAGTTGAGGGTTAGCGGGAGGGGAATTAGTTCCAGCCACAATCTCAATCAATGCTCCTCCCAGTTCTTTGGTATTTTCTGAATCTGATCTAAAGTTCTAAGAAATTGCACAGTCAAAACAAATCCTCTTCCCTTCCCTGACCCTTCTCCACCCATTATTCTAACCAGATTGCTACACCCAAGCTTCATTTTAATAGAAATTCTAGAGCCACCATCATGGATCTGCTTGCACTGCAATAAATCCATAATATTTGGCACTCAGATAGATTTTGAATTAATTTGTTTATGTACTAATTCATCTATCTTTTCATCTATCTTCTTTGCCTTGCCAAATCTTATATTTCTTTTTTTCCTTAGGATGTCTCCTCAGGAGTAAAAGGCTCACACTCTTAATCCAACACTTCCTTCTAACCTCCCCATTTTGTCTTTAAACACACATCAAATATCACACAGCAAATATCAAGTCTATAATCTTATACCTGTCAATGACTTCTTTCTCCTACTTGCCCTGAATGGTCCTAATGATTCTTCCTACCTAATAATTCTTGGGTCTGTCCACTCAGTATATACCTAGAATCCCAATTTATGACCTAAACATAAAATTTCACTATTATAACATTTTTAACTACTTTTTATTGAGTAGTAGATGCTTTCTATACATTATCTCCTTTATTCCTAAATAATTACTGAAGATGAAAAAGTACTTTTCCCAGATGTACAGATAAGCATGTGAAGCTTAAAGAGTAAACTAGAGAATTTCAATGTAGTCATGTGTAACTCAAAAACTAATCTATTTAAGCTACATTACTTATCAACATTAATGAGCTCTGCTCTGCATTAAAGGACTGTAGTGGTATAGGTTTCATGGTAGATTTACTCCTGACCATTGTAAGAAAATTCAACGTAAGGAGTCCTATGGAAGCTAACTACTTAAAGGACTCATAATACTTAGTAAAGTAAAGTATTCATCTGTAATCCAGATTACTAATGTTAATGCAATGAGCCCAGCTTTGGAGTCAAATGAGGAATCAAATACCGGATGCCACTGTGCAAAACTTGAGATCTTCCAGAAAAACACTTAGCTTCACCATGTCTTCATTAATAAAATGAGAAGAAATATACTAGCGTCAACATTCAATAAATGGTCATTTTTATTACCCAGTACCTATCACAAATCCTGGCATGTAGTGGGTATTTTAAAAGTGTTTATTACATGAATGAATAAACTATATTAATTGAAAAAATATTCTTAAATATATAAATTAGTTTAATGTTTGTCATTTAGAAATTGTGGAGTATAAGAGTTCTGAGGAAATTTGTAACATTACCCAACATGATAATTATTTAAAGAGCACCATGCTTTGAGATATTTTTTTTAGCTTTTAAATTCTGTATTGCTAAAAAATCCCATGATGAACTTTTCAACAATTAATAGATGGGAAAAAAATTTTAAGATTATTTCGTCTCATCAGTAGTTCATATCAATAGATATACACAGCTAGTAACATGCCCCATACTAACATGAAATCTGCTACCCTTACATTCAGACCTATTCCACAATGTTATCAAATTGTATTCACTAAGAGATACTTTATTTCTTCAACAGACCAAAAGTCTTATCTGGGCAAATAGTTTTACTCTTTCCACTGATCTACTGCAGAGAGTGCCTACTATTAATGACCAAACCAATTCATTTTTAGATGAGAAAATTGAAACCCTTCAAGTTCGCATGAAAAGACAGAGACAACATAGTATAATGGCTAAACCTGGAGCCTGAATGATAAGGTTTGAATCCTGTCTACAAACTTGTTTTTTTTTTTGTAAAGGTTTTATTTATTTATTTTTAGAGAGTGGGAGAGGAGGGAGAAAGAAACAGAGAGAAACAGCAATGTGTGGGGCCTGACCCAAAACCCAGTCATGTGCCCTAACCAGGAATCGAAACTGTGACCTTCACTTGTGGGATAACCCCCGTCTCCCTGAGCCACATCAGTCAGGGCCTATCTACAAACTCCACAGCTGTGTGACTGGCAAGTTATGCAATCTCTTGTGCCTCAGTTTCCTTTTCTGTAAAATAGAAATAACTGCATTTACCTAGTGAGGTATACGTAACTTAATATATGGGAATTGCTTAAACAGTCAGTGGCTACATGATATAATATTCAGAAAATATCAGCCATAGAAACACTGATTTCTCAGGTTCAAGAAAAACAACACATATATAAATGATGAATTTTTAAAAAAAAAATACCACTTTTTCATTGTCATGGATTTCCTAGACCACAATAAAATTATGCTACTATAGTCAATCAACAATACTTTAATATTATATTTCTCAAAGTTCAGTTCCAGGATCTTTGTATCAGAATCACCAGGGAGCTTCTTTATATAAAAATATTTGGTCCATACCTGTCAGACCTACTGAACCAGAAGTTCAAGGGCAAATCCAGTGATCTGAAATTTCAGTATGCACCCCAAAAGATTATTTTCTGTCCCAAAGTTTGAGATTCCTACAGTGCTCAAAGTACGAATTTTCTTTAACATTAAAGGATAGCTCTTAACTATTAACTTTATCCATAATTGGAATACAAATATCTATTTTTGAAATAACCACCTGTGTATAGCCGAAACCTATATCTCGAAACATGGAGAGAAAAGTCTTTTAGAAGCTCCAGAGCTAGAAACATAATTTAGACTGACAGCCTTGAGGAGCAGAAAGAGAAAGTGACTCATTGTTACCCTTCAGGACTTTGTGGAAAAAGAATGTAATCACAAATTTAGAAAATTAAAATTTCAGTTTGAATTCATCATCAGGCCTACCCATGGGCAGGATTAAATGCCCTATTTTTCTTGATCACTGAGTTAAGAAAAAAAAATTTTAAAGTGCCTATTCTAGTAAACTAATGTAATTGAAAAATTTAAATCCTCTAAATGTATTGTGGATAAAATGGAATTTTGACCTAAATTTGTAAGCTTTGTAGTCTGCCTTTCATATGATGCTCGTGGAAGTATAAATCGGTACAGCCTCTAAAAAGGACATGTTGCAGTATTTATCGAAGTTAAAAATTCTCAAAGACTTTGATGCAAAAATTTCCCTTTTATATGATTCTACAACTATACTCATTCACGTACAAAGTAAAGTATGGAGACTGTTAACTTAAAAATAAATAGCCCTTTCAAAGTGAGAGGCAAACAAGCATTTATTTGACATCAATAAAAATAGCTACTCAGGAATCATTACTTCAGGCAGAAGCCCATATAGTGTTCCATTAGGAGACAAAGACAAAGGGTATTCATGAGAAAAGGAAGGGGAACAATTACATCAATAGAGGAAGACATTTCTTTTGGTAC